TATACCTGCTTTGAGTGACCATTCTAGCAAAATAGCAGAGGTAGCAAAATTGTCCGATGAGCTGGCAACGCCGCAATCTAGGTGACAAGAATGACAAGATCATATGTCTATCCCGGGGTAACGACGGACTCATTTAGTACGCAGTGTTGCCATACGTAGCGGAATTCCGCTATTTGTAGCGGATTATTTTGAGAAGAGCGGCGTAGCGGCGGTAGAGCAAATTAGCCCAAAATGTAGCGGAATTTATTACATACAATACTATCATATTTATTTCACTGTTTTAACGTTAATAACGTTCTAAATCCTAAATAGGCAGTGGCTAGAGTCTGATTTATTATCACATTAATAATAAAATTGGTGCATTTGGTGCCGCTTGAGCCATCTAGGAACAGAGAAGAGAATTATTCCACTTACATTTTTTTTCAATAACAGATGGCGTACGTACTGCTTTCTATACTAGTCGTTTGTAACAGGCAGACATAATATTAGGTTTCTCGCTTTGTATTGTATTTTTCAGCTCTGGGTATATACTGTTTAGTTTCGTTTATATTAGTGTTCTTATTTTTGTGTTGATCATTTTATTGATATATCATTTGCTGCAGATTTTAATATTAAATCTACTGGTAAGTAACAAAACTGCTTAAATATCTAACATATTATAGTTTGATCCAGAAATAAATCTTAGTCGCGAAATTTGTTTTTAACGCTTTTTCTTCTGGAAAATAGGAATAATGGAAAGGCGACAGCAGACCATTAACGATTTTTTTGATAAAAATCCTTCTAAAAAACAAATGGTGAAACCAAACGTGGCCGTACCATCCACTTCGACTGCATCTGTGTCGGACTCGGAACATCCCGAACCTGAATACAGACAAAATAGAAGAGCGGAATCTAGTGGAATCAGGTCTGAGCCTGATAATTCGACTTGCGAATCTCAGGATAACCAAGAGCAACCTGTTAACAAAAAGATACGAAAACAAATGTTTACTTCATCATGGCTAGAAGATCCGTTATTAAAAGGCTGGTTGGGACCTATTGAAAATGACAAGTTGAAAGCAAAATGTAAAGCTTGTAATCAAATAATGGGTTCCTAATTCTAAACCAAAGATAGTTTTGTTTTTTTAGAGGTATACTTTTTATGTTTTTTCGAAAAATTGCAATTATATTATGTTACTGTTTGTATTTTTAGTAGGGTTTTTAGACAGTGTTTAAAAAAAAGTATATATGTAAAAAATATATTTATTGTCTATTTTAAGCCTCCCCCTCCCTTAAATTTTTAGACCGTAGCGGCATGTAGCGGAATTTTGCGATACGTGTGACCGATATTTTAAACTTCGCTCTGGCAACACTGTTAGTACGTCAAAGCGGCAGCTTTCCAATCTTCATTTGCATTTGTCAAGCGGTGTGCAACGATTCCGATAAAAATTTCGCTACGGATAGTCTTCTAGAGTCTAGTAGCGTGTATTTCAATAATTGTCTTGCGTGGCCATGTTGTTTTGGACTGTTGTGAAGGCCCGGTAGCGAAATTTTCCTTAAAATCCTGACACAACATAAATGCAAATACCCCGGAATAGTCATAGGTTTTGACAGCTGACCTTGTTATTCTTGTCACCTGGATTGCGGTGTTGCCAGCTCATGGACGCTTTAACATGATCCACCACCTGTCTTAGACCGGTCCGACACGATGTGGAGAATGCCTTACAACGTTGGACACATGGCCATTCGCCACATCGTGTGGGAGAGCGCCGACGGATTACATTTGTCCAACGTTCGCGACATGGCACGGGCTTTTGTCGTTTGATTTGACCCGCGTCAAAGGACGTTGCAACGTTGGAAGCAAGGTTCGTTACGCTCCCACACGAGATGTCATGTGATTGATGGTTTTAGGTTAGAACCAGTAGTATTTTGATTTGAATACCTAACCTACCTATTCATAATAATGTATGTTGTGCCACTAACTTTTGAGGAGAATGAATTAAATTAGTATACATACAAATCATAGGCTGCCATAACAACACTTTTTTCATATTGCTAATATTTTGTACGTTTCGCTGGCCTAAGGATATGAGTTTTAGTAAATTATACATTATCAAGTTCTTGCAGTTGTTCCATTAGAATGTCCTGTTGCAATGCAAGACTAGTTGAGAGATATATTGACTTGCATTTCATAACTAACGGAAATGATTATGTATAATATATGATAACCCTGAAAGTACTATCAGAATTTTGATGAAAACAAACTAGAAATGGCTAAACGTGTTTCGACATTTCTAAGGCTTCTGACAGACTTATATTTTGGTTGCTGAAGACAGATCTGAAATTGTTTCATTTTATATAATTTTTCCTTCAGCCTTCAGTTGCAAAGGTTCAAGCGCGACTCTGACACCGATAATAGATGTTAGCGCCACCATGCGTCGAACGTCCGAGACTAAAAAGTACATCCCATCGTGTAGGAGACGCACTTGCCAATTGTGGTGTGTCGAACGTTGGAAGCATCGTGTGGAACCCGCATTATTGTTTTGCTTGTTCCTGTAGGTGTAATGGGAATATTTCTTGGTATCACCTTCAGCTTTTAGCAAACATTTCGCCTTGAATCTTATGTACCTCCATTGGTATGCCTCAATATTTTATTCAAAACTTTTATTTTAACATTCTAGCAAAACAGCAGAGGTAGCAAAATCGTCCGATGAGCTGGCAACACCGCAAGCCAAGTGACAAGAATGACATGGTCAATTGTCAAGTCATATGTCTATCCCGGGATACCGCCAGTCATTTAGAACGTCAACGCGGCAATTTTGATTTGCATTTTTTAAAATCAAATCCAAGCAAATAACCAAAATTTCTGTGATATGTGTCGCGGTTATAATATGGTTCAAGATGACACACGGGTTGATGACGTCAGTTACACGAATCGCTTGAACGCGTTGGTTTTAACCGCGGTTTTGTTGCAAGTTGTTTATTTTAGAAAAGCGCGTATATAATCTCTGATTATTTTTATCGCTTAATAATCGGTGCTTTTTCGTCTACAACTGTATATGGAAAGTTTACATAAGAAACCTTTCATAATATTCATGGGAGAAATGTTTTTTTCAGATTTTTTTTTAATGATGGAACCATGGCTTTGTAGCTATGATAACTTTCAATTCTCTAATTTTTTCAGCATGTCAAAGAAAACATTAATTGATTCAGCAGAAATGATGAAAAAAGAAATTAGCAAAACCGTATACAGGTGGATATCATCTAGTGAGTTTATATGGCCATATTTTAATATTCTTGTGGTATATGGCTACACAGGATACTTTATTAAGCATAGGAACAACATTTAAAGTGTCCCCAACAACCGTAATGAGTATAACTAATAAGGTGCTCCACTTTATGGTAAAACTGAAGTCAGCCTGTATCATTTTTCTCAAAAATGAAGCTGAAGTACAATAACAATATCCAATACCCGGCAAAATTCTAACTCGTCACATTTCAAATAATAACCAGAAATATAAAACTACTCTTGAGTTGGGTAAATACCACAATTTTGCGGTGATAACTATGACATACAACAGCTGATTCGTGACGTCACGGATCTTATAACCAAACTGATAACTACACTCGCTTGAACGGATTGGTAAATACAAACCCAAAATGGTAAATATCATTTCCATTTGGTTATCCGCTTGAATTTGATTTATTTTTTAGCAGTTATTTCCACCGCCATCTACCATAATATGACGCTGACGTCTGTGGATATGTCATATATGAGAGGCGCTTGCCTGCGGTGTTGCCGGATTGGACTCCGTATTTAGGGAAAAATATGAAAAGTGGAAAATTTATATACATTTATATTAATGAAACACAAAAACAAAAAACTGAAACAAACAACAGTAGTAAAATTAGAAGTGATTCTTACTAAGTATAAAACAAAAAATAACACGCAGCAGTAAAATAAAAAGCAATTCTAAGTGATTATAAAAAACAAAAAATCAAAACAGTAGTAAAACAAAAAACAATTCCATTTAATTATGAAAAGAACAAAACATAACAAATAACAAAATAAAAAGCAATTTGGATGGAATGAAATTGTTCTCCGTTTTACTACTGTTTTGCTATTTATTCAACATGGAATTGTTTTTTTTTGTTTTACTACTTTTTATTTTACTGCTGTTTGTTATTTTTTGATTTTTATAATAACATGGAATTAGTTTTTGTTTTACTACTGTTTTTTATAATTATTTATAATTTATCATCTTTTAGCTTACTACTGTTATTTTTTGATTTATACTTATTAGGAATCGCCTTTTATTTTGCTACTGTTGTTTGATTCAGTTTTTCGTTTTGTGATTCCTTAATTAATATACATATGTATATAAATTTTCAACTTTACATATTTTCCCTAAATGCGGAGCCCAATCCGGCAACACCGCAGGCAAGCCCCTCGCATATATGACATATGCAGAGACGTCTACGTCGTATGGCAGATAGATGGCGGTGGAAATAATGATGGAAAGAACAAAATACAATGTTTTGGGAACATTTTTTCATGAAAAACGTGCTTCTTCCACACTTTTGTTTCTAAATAACCTATCAGACTACCTAAAAGTTTTGATAGAAAAAACAGTGAAATCGGAAGTTCTACAAGCCGCAACAGCACCGAAACACGGACTCGTGTGATGCATATATGCAACAAAAAACTTGTGAACCGAAGTTGGAATATTATCGCGAGTTTAATAGTTCCATCGTTTAGGTAGTCGTAGATTTTGGAAATTGTTACATTTCAGAGATTCCTGCTCATTTTTAGACATCGTTTGAAGGGAAAAAAATTGTAGGTAGCCGTCAATCTTGACTCCATTTTTTTTTCAAAATTAGCTAAAACAGATGATGTATCTTGTTCTAATATGAGAACTAGGAATCTACCCGACAAAAATCGTAAAATGTTTCTCTAGTTTGAGAGACATTTTACAAGAAATCGACAATATTCGTTAGATCAGTTACTTCAAAAACGCCTTCTCATTGGTCGAATTTTTGCCACAGGCGCAAATTTTCGCCGCGGATTAGTAAAATCCGGCTTAAGGTTCACAAATAAAACACTGTTGTTTGTTCATAATGTTTATTTTCGGAGCTGTGCTTTCATATTTGTTCAACCTGTACTGTCTTGAAATTGTGTGAAAAATGGGAAAGTGGAGTATCATAATAGAAATTGAAATGGAAGCAGACGGAAAGAATCTTAAAAAACATAACAAACATTTAACTGCTAGAGTTTTATATTGCTCTCTCCCACATCATAAGCTTCATAAAAGCCTCCTATATTATTGGCAATATTCAAAAAAAAATCCTATTTATACATAAATTGCAATAAAAAGCAAAGCGTTCGAAAAATTCTGAAAACACGAAACTTTAAAAACGAGAATTATTTACATTAGAAATGTGTAGTGATTCTAGACGTTTCAAGTTTTTTTTACATTCTCAAATTCAGTATACAGTACCGAGCAAAATATTACATTACAAATAAAAATCCAGAAAAATTTACTCTATCTCAAAACTGTACACTAAAGTTTTTTATGTATGACTACCTCAAGATAATGAAATGTTTATCTTTGTATAGATTCTTTTTTTCTTCAATATAATATGGTCGGTTTTTTGTTCAATGAGTAAATATTTAGTTTATATTTAGTCGTTTATTAGAATAGGTGTTATTTTTTAATTTTTTTGGTGTGAAGTGTAGTTCAAAAACATGGCCAGAGGAATTACATTGAATTTGTAAATAAAAGAGTTGATTCTTATAAAATATCGATCAGGCATTAAACAAGCAACCATAGCAAAACAGCTGAATTTAAACCGATAGGTAATTTGCAAAACTATTAAGCTGTTGCGCCTCAGAAAATCGTTGGAAATCTTTAAAAAAATAAAATGTTTCTCCACTTTTACTCGATACTGTAGATTCAAGGAAAGTTTTAGCAGCAAAATATATAGTTTTTTTATGATCTTGGCTCAATTTTTGTTCTGATTTGAAATACTAGATGGAGATCAAAAAGGCGGATTAAAATCATGTTCACAGTAACACAATTTATGACTCATTTTTTTAAGTTATTAAAATTTTTCGAACACTCCAACTCCTAAGTATATATTAAAATAAATATAAAAATATACACCGTTTCAGCACTAAATGTTGTACCAAACAATATTACGACTAGCCCAAAAAAAGCATTTTGTAACTATTCAAGCAATTCTCCTGATTCACTTACCACTTATTATTTTTTTCTAACATATTAAGAAGTACACTTACTTGCTAAAAAAATAATGTTCATAACCATTTTGTAATATAATAACTTTTTTTGCCAACCTATTGTACAGTATTTTGATTTTTTGAAACTACCTGGAAATTACCATCTACCGATTGTAAGATACAGGTAAACATTATATTAAAAATCTTAACAAATAAAAATGGTCTATCATAAAACTTTTAAGCTTAGTCTATGGCAAAAGTTGTTACAGTCGAAAATATAAATTAAAAAAAAAAGTCAACAAAGATTTAAGGAACTGTGAGTAGTTTTATGACGCTGCCATCTAATTTTTTGACAATAGTCCGGTAGAATTAGCATTGTTTTGATGAACCATTAATTTTTAAATTATTTAAATTTTTAAAAATACTAAAATGAAAAATATATTTTTGCCTTGAAAAAATCAAGTAATATTTCTCTACAACCAAACATACGCAATACTTCTAATATTGCTAATTGTATAAGAACATATCAACTCGGACTGATTTAATTTTGTAATTTCAAAATCAAACGATCTTCCTATAAAATGGGTAGCTAATTTTACCAGACTATAAAGCTACGCTATTGGTGTCTGCCTATCATCAGCTGATTTTCTGGTACACAAGCAATAAATAAGCAATATCAGATGTGAACAAAGCGATTAGAATAGACGAAGCCTACGTTTCAATTCGTTCCTTCTCCACATTGGCAATCGATAGAAATCTGTCCGCGACATCTGGAAAAGGGCTTCGAATTCTTGATCTGACAGATGGCGCTGAAAAACGAAGGACATTTCAAAATCAGATAATACAGAATGCAGACAACATTTGTATAACAAAAGTTCATCAATACGAGGGTGGTCCCAGAAGTACCCGACCCAACGAAGAAAACAAAAATTTTGTAAAAAAATGTATTTATTTTTCAACATAATCTCCTTTGAGCTCTATACACTTTTCCCAGCGATGTTCAATAAGTTCGATACCCTTTTTATAATAAGAACTGTCTTGCTCAAAATAGCAATTAACTGCCGACATCACTTCTTCATCATTGGAAAATCTTTGACCACTGAGCCATTTTTTCAAGTTTGGAAACAGAAAATAATCCGAGGGGGCTAAATCTGGTGAATAAGGTGCATGAGGTAGCAATTCAAACCTTAATTCGTTGATTTTGTCCATTGCAATAACGGATTTGTGAGCTGGTGCATTGTCTTGATGAAACAACACTTTCTTCTTAACCAAATGCGGCCGTTTTTGCTTGATTTCATCGCTCAAACGTTGCAACAAGGTCGCATAATACTAGCCGTTGATAGTTTTACCTTTTTTAAAATAGTCAATGAAAATTATCCCACGCGCATATCAAAAAACCGACTTTTCAAACAACTATCGCCATCTCTAGGTCAGGCCGGGTACTTCTGGGACCACCCTCGTACAATTGATATTACAGGATGTCCCAATATGTCGAGAACATACAACGACCATGTATTTTTATACTCAAAATAAGACGATTGGACATGATTTGCCGCTATGCAAAAGTGCTTTGTTCGTCTGTGGAAGGACGTCAAAGTTTTCTTCTAAACACACATTTTTTTAAATATTTTTGGAACCGATAGGCCGATCGGAATGAAATTTGGAACACATGTGTTTTGTTAGACTTTTACGAAAAACTCTAAAGGTAATGCCTTTGGTCATGAGGTCAGGCCAAGATTTTTATAGTACAAATGTGTCAAAGTGACAAGTATCTATGTTTTGCACAAGTTAAATCGAAATACAATAATGGAAAAAAATAAGAGATCAAACAAAAAAATGTAAATTAGTAAAGAACGGTCCCATTAAGGTGACACGTCCCTTTTATAGATTGTTTTTATAGACTGTTTGCAGCAGTATTCTAAATACTTTTCATCTGATAATTTCATGGTGTGTATAGCGATTACTGAAAAACCATGTTTTCATTTTTTTGTGTCAAAAAACGATTTGTGCATTTTTACTCCAATCGGAACTTGTTAACAAATATAAGTACAGCTCTGAAATTGTGTGTGAATATTCCTTTTTTATGGAAGAATGAAACAAGTGATTACTTCTCTTCTTATCACTTTTAGTTTTCGAAAAATGCCTCGCAGCAAGTTGAGTTTTAAAGAAAAACAAAGATTTTTCGAGGAGAAAAAGTTATAAGATTAAAAGTAATCACTTGTTTCATTGATCCATAAAAATGGAATATTCACATACAATTTCAGAGCTGTACTAATATTTGTTAACAAGTTACGAACGAAGAAAAAATCCACAAATCCACAAATGCATTTTATAACAAAAAATGAAAAACGATATTTACTCATCTGCATACGCATAATGAAGTAATCAGATAAAAAGCATTTAGAATACTGTTGCAAACAGGCAGTTAAAAAAAAGCGAAAAAAGGGACGTTCTGCCTTAAGGTTCTAAAAGGAACATTTTAAACTCTTAAATATCTAGCTATAGCTGCACTTTCCAAAATGAAATATTCTAAAAAATGCGATAAGAGATCAGTAAATGTTTTACCAGACATTGAAAATTATTGGAGTACATAGCGAAGTGTATAGAAGAAAACAAAATTTTATTGGAAACACAAGCAGGCTTTCGCAAAAAAATATTCCACAAAAACTGCTTTGCGGTTGGCTATTGAGAATTGGTTATAGCAGTACTATAGGTACTAACCTCCAAATTAATCCTGTCGACGTCCGCCGGCAGCCTGTAATTGATGATCTGCAACAGGTGGTACGGGTATATCTTGGCCGGCTCGTTGATCAGCATTGAGTGCGCCATGTTTGGCAGGGAGCGTCGCACTTGTGACGCGTACCCGACGCTGATGCCTCCAGCTCCCGGGTACCTCCCCAGGCCGCCCGTGTACGTCGTCGAAACGGGCATTTCCGAATTCTACGCATACAATTACGAGGAAATTAAGCAAGCTAAAATTCGAGATAAATCACGCGGGCGACATGTTATATGCAAATATCGTATTACAAGGTATAAGTGATACACAGTAAACGGTAAGAGACACAACTACTGCTACGACTAGGTTATAATATAAAGAATGTGAATGTAGAAAAAGTATTGTTAATTATTTTTTTTCTGGAGGTGCTATCCCGGAAGCAAACATTTCAAACCAAAATTTGGACAACTTCGCATTTTTTGTTTCCTGTTTTTTTTACTCTAAAATATAGTGTAAGTGTGTTTAAATTAAAATGGTATGCGGATATGAGCCACTATAATTCTTTTTGTTTCAAACAATTTGAAATGCCCCATTTTGCAATCCAGATTGCGTATTACAAAAGGACAGTAAAAACAGCTGAAGAAATGTTACAGTTTGAAAAGACCTGTTCGATTCGTTTAGTTAATTTGTTACGTAGCAAAAGGTAGCTGTTAGATTGCAAAACAAAAAACTAAGCTTATATCGAAAAGAAAACAGCAAAACAGTAGCACAGCGAAAGTAGAAAAAAAATGTTAATAAAAGACATATTTACATACCAGCGCTCGCCTTTCGACGTCTGTGATGGATCCAGTGGAAACTGAAGAGAAAAGCATTAATTTTACATACTTGCAATTTACTAACAAAGTTTCGAGGAATATCATTCATCTTAAACTAACACATTTGTTAGACACTTTGTTTATATTGAGGAACCTGTCTTCTAGAAACCGTTAATAATGGGGTTGTTAAGTAGCAAACATGCAACAAGCTGATGAGGTGGAAGCAGCCAATAATTTAAATCGCGTAAGAAGCATAAGTAAAACATTTTTTATATATAATCCAAGCTCATGAAGATTAAAACTATTTTTTTCTAGACTTTGACACACTTTGTCTTTGGAAGATATGTTTATGCAGAATGTCCAAAAAGTCGACGTCAAGCCGGAAACGTAAAAAATCTAAGAATCTGTGGCCCAACAAAAGTACCTTCTTTAACCTTTGCCTCACTTAGTCTTGGAAATTTCTGACGCAGGTATTGAAAAGCTGACCCATCTCTATCTAATGCCTTGACAAAGTTTTTCATTAGGTCCAACTTGATATGCAGTGGTGGTAATAAATTTTTTTTCGAATCTAATGGTATATGCTGTACATTTTTTTGACCTGGCTCTAGGAATTGACGAACAAGCCAGTTTTGTCTGGTGTAATGAAGTGCCTTTGACCGACTGTCCGATTCACACAAAAGCAGCAAAACTTTGTGTAGCCTAGCTGTAGCCCAAGTAAACGTGCAACAACTTTCAAATCGCCACAAATATGCCATCGGTGCTCATCGTATTTTATGCATGTCAATAGGTACTTCATATTGTCACATGATTCTTTCATGTGAACTGCATACCCTACAGGAAGAAGAACTGTCTATAAACAATCTCCATTCTTCTGGGTTATAGTTTATATTTAAAGTTATTCTCCATATTGAAAAATGGTTCTAAGTCTTTGTGGCGTTTACGAAAAACACATAACGAAACATCGTCTTCTAACAAGTTCCACTGCTGCAGTCTTGATCCAAGTAACTCTGCCTTACATTTTGGAAGTTCTAAATCTCTTACAAGATCATTTAATTCTGACTGTGTTATTTTGTGCGGTTGGTGGCATGACGTGCTCGGTATAAAATCAGGATCTCTTGACGTTGATGGCATATCTTCTTCCTGACGAATCACTCGATCGCCATGATCTGATTCGTTTTCTGATTCGCAAGTGTAGGATTCTGGGGGTTTTGGAATAGGATTTTCGTCACTGTGAGGCACAGGTCTCATCGCAGATGGTATGTTTGGGTAGTTAATAAACGATTTTTTTCTTGGACATACCTGTGGCTTGTCCAACACAAGGTACCATGCAAAAGTAACAATCATTAATATGATTTGTAGGCTCTCTCCAAACCATTGGGACTGCAAAGCGCAGGAACACATATAATTACCGTATCTCTAAAACTTGAACTAATATTGAAAAAATAAGTTTCATTCCGGTTTTAGCACATTAAAAATAGTAATATTTTGTTGATTTTATTCAGGATATTTTTTGGCTGTTGATCAGTGTAACCTACCTAATATAGACTTGATCCCCTAAATGAGACATTTCACCTTAAAAGGATCTATGATTAAATGAAGCCATCCATACTCCCACTTTGCCAGATAATTTTTATTTTCAAATCCTATTTAATGTTGTTATTTTACTTTTCTTAGTAAATCATGTCTTTTTATTTCTAGTTTAAGTAGTACGTAATTATTCATAAGCTAATGCATACCCGCGTACAAGGCTAGCCTTCTGCGGGTTTTTCTCTAGTGTTTATTGTTCTAAAATATGTAATTTCTAGTTATCTGCTTATAGTTTAGACAATAAACATTATTGTGTCACCAAGCTCTTACATATGTGGTACCAACAAGTCGCCTGACTTAAATCCACTCAATTTTTTTACATGGGGTACATTTTTCCGATTTTTTTTTTTTGATGCCTATAATTGAAAAGTTCACGACTTGGATTTTTTAAATTGTTCTGATAACTATTGTCTTGGCCTATCCCCCGTTCCCGGCTTGACGTCGACTTCTGGGACACCCTGTATAAGTCTTTCAGGAAAGTCGTATTCAATTCGGAAAGATGATCACAAAAATATCTCATTTCAATGAAAATGAATGAAGTGTTGGTTTTCGTGACGTGAGAACTGTATCTAACATTTAACACTCTTCTTCATCCGGCCTACTTAATTTTTGTTTATTAAGATAAACCTTACACCTGATTTAAATACAGGGTACCCGAAAAATTGGGACTTTCCCTTTCAAAGCATACCGGGTGATTCTCCAAGGTAGATAACTTTGTTATCATTGGAGATATAAAAAAGAAATTTGGACGATGCGTATTATAGATGAAGAATCACCCGGTATAGCAAAAATAATCACGTTTGATTTTGAAGGATTTCAGTTGGAGGTTATGATTTTTTGCATATTCATTAATCGTTTATGTCCTCACTGATTTCATATTCAGCGAGAGTTGATACTATGGAGGTACTCATAAATTTAAAAGGCATCAAGGCAAAAAATGATTACAATGTTTAACGAATACGTGCAAGTCGGAGATATATAAATTAAATAATAATGGTCCGAATCCGAGTCCTTGCGGTACTCCAGATGAAAAGGCACACTTAGGCGACACATACATGTCAATAGTAACTCTGCGCGGTGTGTAAATTGACCTAGTTTGTAAACAAACCGCACTTGAAAACGCAATACTACAGCAATAACGTAGTAATCGATTTGGTGTTAGTTGATATTGATACTCCGCGAGTGCATTCAGGACGTTGTCCTCTATGTTTCCATCTGAGCTGCGGAGGTTTGTTCATATCGTACAAAAGCCGTCTGGGCGGAGACGGTAGACGTCCTAAACAGCCCCAAATGTTGCAAATTTAGGAAAAACCAAACAAACTGGCGTTTTTGAATTGAACAGCGAAAACTTCAACAACTATTTACGAACTAATCGTGACAAGGGAGTACTTGAAATTCTTTATCAAATGAATTCTTTGTTACGTTTTCGGTGCCGCTTTACTTTGTTATTTGAAACGTAGTTTTTTCTGAAAAGCAAAGTCCTAGCTTTCAGGTCACCCTAGTAGATCGAATTTTTTTTCCAGGCGTGATTGAAATTCTTGAACAAATGAGTCGTATCTTGACACCTTGAAACTAGGTAGGCCTCGAGAGACAACGACAGGTGTCGGTTATTGTTAGAATGCATTTTTATCCTAAGCAGTATTAAATGAAAACGTTGATCACAAGCGATAAGAGGCTTCTATAGGTACACTGAACTACCTACATCTGGATACTTACTATCAGACTTGCCGCAACTGAAGTCAGTACTATGAGTTTTAGCACCCATTCCGCTAAACGAGTAATCGCCCTGTTGAATATACAATTTGTTAATTACACCCCGGATGCTTCACATGTCACAGAGACACACACACAATAAATAATCATGCTAAAAAAATATACAAAGAAAATTCTACAGGATACAAGATTTGTCAAAAAAAAAACGTAACGTCCTCAAAACATAGAACACCCAGTATGTACGTTACAACACCATATGGCTATCGTACATGGAGCCTATATACGAGGTCTGTAAATTACGTAATAATTTTTTATTCAAATATACTAAATGACATAGAAAATGCAACACCGACTAGGAGTGCTGTAATGTTAAGCATACTTTTAGAAGTTTTAGGTCCACCGATAAATAGAAAGTGATTAAAATTTTCGTCGTCTAACTCGTCGATTTTGGCCTTCTTGGAACCCCGCTCTACAAATGGACCCAACACAGAAAAATCACATCTTCATATTGTTCGGATCCTGATATGACAAAAAAAACATTTACAAAAAAAGTACGGCTCCGAATGCCTTCAACATTTTATCAGCGTATACTTCCATGATAGCAAATATGTTTACATGTCACTTAGTCACTTTTAAAGATAATTAACCAAATTTTGAATTCTAGTCCATTTATAATAAGCTAAATGGCTAACAATTTGTTGGTAGGTGTTTATATGTCGGTTCTGATATAGCACAGCGTTGCCAGATGGGTCAGAATTTCCGCAGAACAAGCACAAAAACCCCTGAGAATTGCTACTTTTTCATAAAAATCTCCAAAATTATAGTTAATTAGTGGAAAGATGTAGGTTTAGAGCAAAGAGCGGGGCTGCTTTCTATTCGCGAAACAGAACACTACATTCCCAGAAAATTCCCCAAGAAAAATTCCCGAACATGGCAACTATGTCAAAGCACCACTGGTACTCCAGGCATCAAGTTTCGGTGTTTTTTTACAGCGAGAACAGTACTGCCTTCGTTTCTCCTGGTATATAGGATCCATGAAATCGTGTGTATTTTTAACTAGAGTTTGATAATCGACTGTGAAAACGAGACAGACGGTGGGCGTTGTTCTACTAGTTTCCAAGGAATTGGATTCTTTAACATCCCCTTGATAAAAAATTCAGGAATCTTGTTGCTGTTTAAAGTCTCATCTATAAAAATTAAATTAAATTCGTGATGACATGTAATGATATGAAGAACCACGGGCCTTTCAATAGCTTGCCGAAAATGGATACATTTACAAACACGTCAGGAAAGATTCGAAAATAAAGAAACTAGAAGAAACTAAAACTGTCCTTGGCTTTGCAATATGGTCAGTCCCCTCCAGGTTTGATCACGTGAACTTTGCAATACGTACAAGTTTTCTGTAACGTACATATTTGGCATACTATGAAGACATACGTCATTTTTAACAGACAAAAATAAAACACGTTTTAAAATGGTTAAAATAAATTAGTTAGTTAAATAAAAATAAAATAATTGAGTTGGGAAACATAACACTTCCACTACGTCAACGAAACACATTCAAGTGAAGATTGTTTCCATTTAATAATTTTTATGATGTTTCGTACATTACATTTTTGGAACAATTTTCGTTTTTCATCCGAAAGCGAGTAACAGAAATGCACGGTGCCATAAACATGTTCACAATTTATGTGTATATTGATATTTAGACTGCAACGTATTAACAAAACAATGAAGTGCTGTTATAGCGATTATTACCCTATTTGATGTAAAAAAAACATAATCATTGATGAGCATTGATTTTTTCGGAAAAAGTACCTGGACACCAATTTGCTTCATTTTTCTGACTTCGTTTCCGATACTTGGACAGAAATTTCCAAGTCGATGCTATTCATGCCGACTTCGGCAGGGCTTTCGATCGAATTTACTATTGACAAAACTTGCCGAGATTGGTGTTCGTAGCCCTCTTGTAATGTGACTCAATCAAAAGTGTTGTTTTACAATGAGTCGGAAACAATCCGCACTTGACGACACTCGATTTTCACGACCCTCAATCAACTTACTGGAATCTGCGGTACGGAACTGCCCGCCGAGGTACTGAACGTGTGAGATCTGGGCGCCAGGCCGTATCCGGGCTTCGGAACATGCCGCAGGGCGCTCACGACTTCACCGAGCAACAACAAAAAACGATAGTGAAATACGAAATACGCTCAGTCGCTGGGTCATAATTTCATACCGAAAGGATGGCATTGTGTTTTTGATCATGTGTGCGTGTGTGTTCTGATTTACCTTAAGATGCTACGCCTCGCCATCTGGTGGCCGTGATTTGAGAGGTTTTACGATTGGTTGGTTGATCCCTTAAAACAAATAAATCAGCACAAAGAATAATAATTTTATAACAGTTCTTAAAAATACTGAATTTTGTTTTTATCGCAAAACCCTTCTCTTGTTCTAATGGTTCTGTGGTGGAGGATCGTACTCTACTCTCCATCTCTTTAAAGGTCATTGTCGGGATGTGATTGATGTTTCTGTTCGACGTTGGAGGACGCGCGGTATGGTCAACACAGGGATGGCCACGGAACGGGAATTATTTGTTATAGAATTGTCGTTGTGAGGTTAAAACTCATAATTTTTTTGTAATTTTCGCGACCTCAAATACAAGAGCTGAACGTGACTTGGTGCTGTTTCCGGTGTAGCAGTTCTGCGGCCACAACCTGCGTTAGTGAATCAATTTCACACCCAGTGCTGCGCATTTGCTGGGTTGTGGAGATTTTGATAGAAATCAGCCCCCATTGGTGACAACAGTTTTGTGCTTGTGCTTCCCGAGGCTACTTTCAACCAACCAAACTCCAAAACGTCCCAAATCCTACGTACTAAATACTTACATATCCATTTCTAGCGGGCAAAGTAGACGACTTTAGTCCGTATCCTGGCCTAGGTACCATTCTCAACGATGACACTACTATACAACACGCAAAAAAATCATGTGCAGAAAACGAAAAAACAAATGTATACGCCGTTATGTATAAAGCTAGTGCATGCAAAAACAGTGAACAAAAAATCGCCAAAAATTTACAGCAAAACATGTGCGACAACAAATTATCACTATGATAATTCTGGTATCAGAACCATGGAAAAACTATCGTCTGCACTAATGGGAAAAATTAAGAAATCGGTTAAAAATGTTTAGTGTTGTATCTCTGTAAAAAATAGTCGTATTCATTATATTCATTTTAAAACTTCTTATGTCTGGTTTTTGGGTCTGATAGTGAAACATTTTTTGGAGCTGCTAGGAAAAATTGTAAAAAATTTACTGCAACGACCATTTCTTAGATATCAATTTTTCAATGAAAAACGCTCAAAAGATCTAACGTCTATCGGTACAATAAAGAATTAAATGAAAACGTAAAAAAAATGATATTTTGAGAAAAATTGAAAATGGAAAAACTATCACCAAAAAAAATGTTGCGGGGGGAGGCAGGTATCAGAAGTTCAGCCACAAGGAATTTTTTTTGGAGTAAACATTATTTTCAAAAATATCGAAAAAGATAAATTACTTCTATAGAGTTTCCCATAATCCCATTAGTATGTATTCCAAAAAAATTGTGTATAACACTATAATTCTTCCCCATTTTTTATATTGTTCAACCATTTTGTTTACAGCAAATGAAAACATGTTTTCAAAATTACAAATTCTACAAAATAAAGCTATGAGAATCATTTTAAATAAAAACAAATATACTAGGATTAAGTCTATGTTAGAAGAACTGCAGTATTCGGATGTGAAAAATTTCATATATTATTTAGTTCTCGTTTTCATATTCAAATTAAAAAATCATTTATTACCACCACATTTAGAGAACCTCACAAAATTAAATAGTCATTATCATAACTACGAAACTATAGGCAGTATAGATTTTCATCTGCAAAATTGTAATATTTCAAAAGGGATTATTTGAATTAATGAATTGAACAATGATAATAAACAAAGTTCGTATTTAAAAATGTTTAAGGTGAAACTAAAAAATCACTTTATGAATAATCAAAATACATAGTGACGTAATTTTAATAGACAAGAATGTAAAATTACAGAAAATGGATTGAAGAAAAATATGTAACTGAATCATTATACAAAATTGACATTGTAGCATTAATGCTAAATAAATCTTCAACAACAACAACAATTCTTCATTTTAAACGTTGAGCTTTATGCTATTTTTCTTCATAGTTGCCATTTTTTTAGACGTGAAATCCACTTTTGCACTCCCGCATCAAGGAAGTCAACCTACAGCATGAGTTTTACATCTCCATATACCCACAATAACCCTCTAAAATTTGACTGCTCTACCTAGTCGTTATTTTTTTAACAATTTTTTTTAAAATTAAAGAATCACGTTTACTGCTGCTAAAAAAGTTAAAATTGAAAACGATTTTTTTTAGCATTTTGCTCATTTTCCTTATAAAAATCTATTTGAAAAAGGGTCCCGCTTTTCGCGAGTAAAATGTGGAGAATGTCAAAATAAACGTTTTCCATTTTAAAGTTTTTGGCAGCAATAGAAATGTTCCTTTAATTTTGTTCAAATCAAAATAATAATAACTCGTTTTTCCTGTTTCCCTTAGATTTTCTGTATGCTGCTTGATCCTGAAATATCGATGATCCAAGCCAAAACGCTACTTTTTATTAGAAATTCAAAATCTCAGCTCATCAAGAAATGGTCGTATCGATGATTTGAAAAAAGCAAATTGATACTCAATAAAAAATATTTATTAATTTAAAAATATTTTCCAAGTCCATGGACCTAAAAATTTTACTTTGCTCTACCCAGACGATATTTTGTTTTGAACAACTTTTCTAAACAATTAAAGGATCACGTTTATTGCTGCTAAAATGATTAAAATTACAAAAAGAGTTCAAATTTACGGAAAAAAATCTATTTATAAAATGTTCCCGCTCTTCGTAAAAAAAATGTAGAGAATCTCAAAAAAAAACGTTTTCCATTTTAAAGTTTTTTGCAGCAATAGAAATGATCCTTTAATTTTTTTTTTTGGAATTTTGATTCCTCAAAATAACGTCTGGGTAGATCAAAGTCAACTTTTAGAGTATTACTGTAGGTATATGGGGCAGTTAGAGCCATGCTCAACCATTATGTCAATATTTAAAATTGATTAATTAAAAAGAATTAATAACTTGTTTTTCCTGTTTCTTTTAGACTGTATGAAGGACGAAAAACGTGTCCTTTAAATCCCTGAGATTTTCTGTACGCTGCTTGATCCTGAAACATCGATGATCCAAGCTAAAAGGACTTAGCAACTCGATGTGTCAGCTCATCAAGAAATGGCCAATAAGAAATATTTATTTATTTAAAAATATTTTCCTAGTAAAAAAAGTGAAAAATGTTTTGACTAAAAGAACTAAGAACTAGATATTTCAAGCATTGAAATACTTCTCTTAGAACCTCAATAAGACTATTTTTTACCGAGATACAACACTTCAAAGAAAAACTAAAAATTTACCATTTTTAATCGACCCCTCAGTTTTTTCCATTAGTGTATGTAAAAATTTTGGATTAGTCTCAAAAAACACAAAAACTACATGCTTTAACAGGTATTGGAAAAATTTTAGAATAGAGAGATTCACATATAGTCTCACCTTAGAAATGCCAATTGTAGCTAGGAAACTTTCGTTTTGTGTATGACATAGTAAATTTTGTGGATGAGTAAACACATTCATTTTGATATTATTCAGGTAGCAAAATTATATAAATAAAGAGAATATGGAATTATTCGTTACACAGATTTTAAAATACTTCAAACATTTGTTGTTTGTTTATTGTTGCTACAATTACATTCTTCTAAAAGACCACAGCAGTTACATAACATACAAATATTCAGTAAAAAAAAATTGCATCTCTAAAAATTTTCTATTTTCTATAAATTATGTATCAGCTTAAATAGAGGTGTTATGAGTCAAGGAACTTCGAAACTTTTTCGAAATACTCCTATTGTGTATTCTTACGCATTTTGCATAAAGAACGACCGCGTTCCGTATTCTCTTTTTCCGGTAAAAAATTCAGCGAACCGCGAACGTGAAGATAACTCACCGTTATAATTGGGAATGGCTCCGATGGATCTTCCGACTGAAGATCGACAGCTCAGCGACCTGTCAAAGTCGTCGTCGTCGAACGGCTTCGGGTGGTCCAAATTCCTAGAAGGACTTGCACCTATTGGATTGTCGTAGCGTAATCTATAGGTAGGTTCCTTGTTCGCCGATGGGGTTCTGCGACAATTATAAGCAACAGTGAAAGAATGGCAAATATTTTCTGACGCGAAGCCAGAATCGACCACTGCGGAAAGCGCATAGCTGCTATTAATGGGTGATTTTTTTTGCTAGTATCTTTTCGGCAACACTGTTTTTGACAGATGACGCGTGAATCGTGTCTTGTGTCATTGTCAAACTTGTTCAGTTTGGTCTATAATTTAACCATGAATCGACTTACGAACGAACAACGCTTGCAAATTATTGAATTTTACTATCAAAATTCATGCTCGGTTAAGAGAGTGCATCGAGCACTGCTTCCAATTTTTGGGCAATTTGGTCGGCCTACTGAGGGAGCTATTCGGAAGCTTGTGACTAAATTTCGAACCCAGTTCACATTATTGGACATTAAACCACCGACACGCAGACGTAGAGTGAGGACTGAAGAAAATATTGCGGCTGTATCCGCCAGTGTTAGTGATGTCGATTCGCCGCCGTTCGCAGCAATTGGGCCTCTACGTGGAAAATTTTGCGACAGGATTTGGGTGTAAAACCTTATAAGATACTGCTGGTACAAGAATTGAAGCCACACGACCTCCCACAACGTTTCGAATTTGGTGAATGGGCGCTGGCAAAGTTGGAGGAAGATCCACATTTTTATCGAAAAATTGTGTTCAGCGACGAAGCTCATTTCTGGTTGAATGGGTACGTTAACAAGCAAAACTGCCGCATCTGGAGTGAAGACCAGCCAGAAGCATTGCAAGAGCTACCAAAGCATCCAGAAAAAAACACTGTTTGGTGTGGATTATGAGCCGGTAGCATCATCGGGCCGTACTTCTTCAAAGACGACAATGGCCGGAACGTAACTGTGAATGGCGAGCGCTACCGTGCGATGATAACAAACTTTTTTTTGCCCAAAATGGAAGCGCTGGACTTGGCTGACATGTGGTTTCAACAAGACGGTGCCACATGCCACACCGCACACGAAACAATGGCCCTATTGAGAGGCGTTCGGTGAACAGTTTATCTCACGTTTGGGGCCCGTCAATCGGCCGCCTAGATCGTGTGGTTTAACGCCGTTGGACTATTTCTTGTGGGGCCATGTTAAGGCTAATGTCTACAGGGATAAACCAGCAACGATTGACGCACTGGAAGCCAATATTGAAGCATTTATTCGTGAGATACCGGCCGTTATGTTGGAAAGAGTGCACCAAAATTGGACCTTGCGGAGCTGCGGCCATCATTTACATGAAATAATCTTTAAACATTACATTATATCGTCCGTTCTATCGACTCAAATAAAGATTTAATCGTTTTTTCAAGTTTTTTGTGTTTTTTTTTTTTTAACAAATCCTACACCTCTTAAAAAATCACCCGTTAGTTGGAACTTTTTGGGATCTCAGTTAACGTTTCATCGCCCAGTCACCACGGGACCGCTAGATGGCTGACGATTCTGGCTGTAAAATAGATGAAAGCATCGCATCTAGTTCAATTTTTACCTTGATGCATTTCTAGGATCCAAATGTGCGGCTTTCCACTGTTTTATTTTCTCCCTCTCCTGTACGTTTTTCAAAAATACTTTTCCTATTCCGCTGGCAATTTTGCTAAGCTCCTCTTCCTCCTTTTTCAACTTGTCACCGTCCACTGCTTTACTCGTCGCGTCCGCCTCGTCTTCGTCCGAATCCGCCACGCCCTTGTACGAATCCGACCATCTTTTCCTGCAAACCGAAAAACACCATGGCATTTTGTAGAAAAAACAATTTTGATATCTCCAAAAAAAACGGATCTTAAAACCGAAATATACCGTCACAAAATTTGTATATGGGAAATGGGCGATCATCAACAGGCTCAAAATTTTGGAAAATACAAAATCTTTCATTTGGACGTCAAAGTAGGGTTTCTCCCTAAAGGTTCCACATGTAAATAGATTTAGATTCACTTTGGTTTCCATACCTTTTGTTGATCACGTTATGTACATACATATGTAACTGACTGGTTTGTATCTTGAATATTTGTGAAATGAAATAAAATACGTCCACTTTTTTTCATCGTGAACTTAGAAATTGTGTATGAAAAATATCAGACAAATGTCCGCCTCTTGAAGCCGCGCAAATCTGAGCCCTCTTGATTACATTTTCCGTCACTTTTTGGTAGATTTCGGGAGGAATATTTTCAATCGCAAATAGTGCATAATAAACGTGCGACGAATACCCAGTAATTGAGAACGATGTCTGGTAGACGTCTCAGGGCGCTACACTACACTTTCAGGAACTCTCTCGATAATAAAAATAAATATACAAGAATAAATTTTATGCTGAAAGAACTACAATGGTTAAATATCCAAAATTTCATAGCCTCTATTCAAGTTAAAAAATCATCTTCTACCAAATCACTCAGAAAATTTTATTGTATTGAACAATGAGTGCCGACTTTGTTTCTAATTTAGATTATTTGCCACCTTTTGGCAAGTCTGATCACTTTTCACTTTTATCTTCTCTCCAGTTCAATATAAATAGTCGTTCTACAACCGATAAGTTTAAAACCATCAAAATTGTAAACCACGATGCTCTTAACCAAGCCCTGTCTGAAGTCAACTGGCCTGCTTTGCTTAACAACCGTAGCACCCAAGATATGTGGGACACTTTCGCTCAACGAGTCCTAAGCGAAACGGCTGACAATACTGTTGAAAAGAAGGTATAATGTGACCCCTCAAAGCCCAGGATCAACTCTAACATATCGAGGATGCTTTGTCACAAGAGATCTTTGTGGCAACGGTTTAGGAGGAGTGGCCATTCACAAGATTACGTGTCTCATCGATCCTTTTCTAACCTCCTATCTAGAACGTTACATAATGCCAAACATGCTTATGAACGAAAACTCGTTACCTCCAAAAATCAGAAGAAGCTGTTTCGGTATCTAAGAACAAACCTGAAATCCAAAGTTTCATCACCTCAGATCCGCGACGCTGACGGTCATCTCCACATGGATGCCACCGAATCTGCCAACTTACTGGCAGAGTCCTTTAGTGATGACTTCGTCGATGAGCCTAATGGAGACCTTCTACCGACCACTATCTGCCATAGGTGTCCCAACAGCCTTTGCGAAGTTGAGTTCCTGCCTGAAGATGTATTAATGCACCTGCGAAATCTGAAGACCTCTTCCTCCCCTGATAAAGATGGGATGACGGCTGCTGTACTTAAAAACTGCGCTTCAGCACTGGCCCTACCATTAAGCTTGATATTCACATCGTCTTTTAGATCTCATACCCTACCCTCATGCTGGCTTAGTGCTTCTGTTACCCCTGTATTCAAAAAGGGCGACAAATCATCCGCTAAAAATTATCGACCAATAAGTCTCGTTCCTATCGCCGCCAAAATAGCTGAAAGAATCATATTAGATAAGCTCCTGTCATTTGCTTTCGAAAATGACCTTATCCCTAATAATCAGCATGGATTTCTCCCGGATCGATCAATAATGACCAACCTTCTCCACTCTCTCAACGATTGGACTCAGTATCTAGAAACAAAAACTCCTGTTGATATAATCTACTTACATTTTTCTAGGGCTTTCGATCGCGTACCACATAGAAGGCTTCTGTTTAAGTTGGAATGTATGGGAATAAGAGGCGAGTTGTTACTGTGGATTAAGGCTTTTCTCACCGGGAGGACTTTCTCTGTGCGCGTCAGTGATAGCCAGTCTCACCTTCATCATGTAGCAAGTGGAGTTCCTCAGGGCTGTCTTGGGGCCAGTGCTGTTCCTTCTGTATACAAGTGAACTGCCCGCATTGATTTCCTCCACATGTTCAGCTTATGCCGACGACACCAAGATTTACAATACTGTCGTAAATTCTGCTATGCTTCAACGAGATCTTGATATTGTTTGTCAATGGTCAGTCAGTTGGCTTTTACCCTTAAATCTAACTAAGTGTTGTGTCCTTCACCTCGGGAAGACAAATCCGCGATTTACATACAAGATCTCTGGCCACAACATCGAAGCAGTTTCCAGCCACACTGATCTGGGCGTTGTAGTCAACGATCGTCTTTTCTGGTCAGAGCATATTCACCACGTTACATCAAAAGCCAAGAAACTTCTATCCATGCTGGAGAGGTCTTTCAAAGGATCCGATGTCAACACTTGCGCCTACATTTACAAGGCATTCGTGAGGCCAATTCTTGAATTCGCTGGCCTGGTATGGGACACTGTGCTTCTGCGCGATAGAAATCTCGTCGAATCAGTACAGCGTCGAGCTACTCGTATCCCTTTTGGAGCACGAAGACCAAGCTATGAAGATCGCCTTTAATTATTCAACCTGACCTCAGTCTCTGAGCGAAGACTTCGTGGCGATCTTATAGTTACGTTCAGGATACTTGATGGTTTGATGGGCACCAACCTCATGCATCTATACCGTCTGTCGCGCAGCAATCTACGCGGACACAGCTTCAAACTGCATAAGGAGCCATTTAAAACAACAGTCCGACAGTGGTTTCTTCCCAACCGCATATTCAACACCTGGAATAGTTTACCTGAAAGTGCGGTTGGTGCTACTTCAGTTAATAGCTTCAAAGTGCAGTATGATAGCTGGAGGAGTGTACAAACTTTATAGCTATGAACTGTCTTTTTTTATTTTTTTCTATTTGATGTATTTGTGTTACGTGTCCGTACACTATATTTACTGCATGAGCTTATAGTACTGTGTACTCTGCTCATCTCAATTATCATAATAATAATAATAATAATAATTCTACTAGAGGAAGTATAGACTTTCATTTACAAAACTGCAGTAGCAATATAACGAGCAATTCAGTATTTCAAAAGGGATTGTACGAATTTAATAAATTAAGTAATGATATCAAGATGTGTGTCAGTTTGAAAATGTTCGAAGGGAAATTGAAAAAATAACTCATGGAAAACCAGAATTCATAGTAGTGAAATTTTATACAAAAAGATGTAGTTTTGAAGACATAATATATTTTGTGATATACTGTGTAATATCGATATTATCGATATTGTAGCACTAATGCTAAATAAATCTGAAACAAACAAAAAAAGCAGCATTCGTTTTCTCAAGTAAAAAATGTCTTGTGCATGAAAAAATGTGGAAACGTTATTTTTGAAAAGACCCTCGTATTTTGAACGATGTTTAATAGATTTTTACGAACGTAGTTCCGGTTTCGGTTGCAATTTCGCCGGATTCTTAACTAAACGAAAACTCCGATTGTGGCCCGAAACCGAAAGTTCGTTCGGACGTTACCGACACGTGCGTACCTTCTTTCTGGATCAGTGTACGGATATGGCGGTGCCGGGAAGTCGTCCCTCTCGATCTTCAGCGGTTCGCCGGGTTGCGGCGGCTTGGCGGCCGGGAAATGCGCCAATTCGATGGGTTCCTCGTTGTTCATGTGCGGGGAACGCGGCCGAGGCGTCTCGCTGCGGATCGAATCGACCAGGGCGCGCATCGCCGAACGGGACGCGGATCGACGGCCGCAACCGGCGCCACAAGCGCTGCCGCGAAGGCTGTTCTGTGCTGAAATAACAAGACAAAATACATAATAATAATAAAAATACGGTGGAATCCATTTATAAATGAACTTATAATGGAAACCTGTATATAATGGACACAATTTAATGTCCTATAAATAATTGCATGTAAAATCGTCGGATATTATATATATTATAAAAAAGTGGTACGCTGAACTTGTTAAGAAAAATCGTAAAATTTTGCTCTTGGTCGAAAACTTCCCCGCTCAAATATTTCACCTAATAACATAAACCTTCAATTTTTTCCACCCAAAGTGACATCAGTTCTGCAACCAATGGACCAGGGTGTCATTTGGAGTCTTAAACAAATGTATCGGAAAAATATGTTGATGAAAATTATGGAGGTTCCAGAAGATGTCAACATTACCATTTTAGATGCTATAAATTTGCTTACTATTGCATGGGTTACTCCAGAAACGATTCGCAATTGTTTTCAACATGCTGGTTTAGGGAAAAACATAATTGAAATAGTCAACGACTTTAATCCGGAAGATGATATTCCATTAAGTGATTTACTGAAAATTAATAGTTTGCTAGATATAGACAAATTTAATGAGTATGTAAATGTTGACAAAAATTTAATAGCAACACAGGAATTGTCAGACTCCAATTTGGTTAATGAAGGATACGTTGATAACGAACAGGAAGACGAACTATAAAACAACGTTGAAGCAGAGCTTCCAGTGACTACTAAGGAGGCATTAGACTGAGTGAAAAAGTAGCAACGTTATTTTCAGCAAGAAGAAGACAGTACAGCCACACTTAACAAATTAACTAAAATTCAACTTGCTGTACCAAATAATTATACAAAAAAAACAATCTGTTCAAATCAAAATTACTGGCATTTTTTACGAAATAATTTACGGTTTTTACACATACCTACACAGTACGTATGCCTGTAATATGTGTATCAGATTCTGAAAAAATGCATATTTCAAAATTACGTATGTATACTATATATATATAACTTGAGACGTGGTCATTGTCGTCTAAACCAGTTAGGTGAAAAATTAAAGCTTCCGCCTTTTGTTGGGTATTTCGACAAAATTTAAGCAAAGAGGACTCTTTATACTTTTTTTAATTCTCTCTAGCTTTCAATGGACTTTGCCATCATCATCAGGAGCTGCAATTACAATTACAATTTAAATTCATTTTACACTTTTGTTGCTACTGTTATCATTGTAATTGCAGCTCCTGATGATGATGGCAAAGTCCATTGAAAGCTAGAGAGAATTAAAAAAAGTATAAAGAGTCCTCTTTGCTTAAATTTTGTCGAAGTACCCAACAAAAGGCGGAAGCTTTAATTTTTCACCTAACTGGTTTAGACGACAATGACCACGTCTCAAGTTATATATATATATATATAATTTTATATATATATAATTATGTATGCTTCTTTATTTATAACAAATTTTAAGACTTTAATATGTTATTTCTCATGCTTCTTTCATTGATAAAAGTGTTTATTTTAAGATGGTCATCCGCCTATAAGAGACTATTTGCCACAGTCCCACAGAGTCCATTATAATCAGGTTGCAGTGTAGTTATTTATTATACAAGGGAAAAAAGTACTACTTCGGTTTTTTGTCTCAATACAACCTCAAGCTAAAATCTAGTATTTTTCCAGTGTATAATACACATTTTTTGGCAAAAACGACGATTTAATATTGAAAAATTATATTATTACAATATTTAAGAAAATTATCGATGTGAAATTTGAATTTTTAAATTAGTAGGTCGTACTTATAGCGACAATTAGACCTGCGTTGCTAAGGAAACTTTTAAAGTAATCAAATAACTGTCAATTTAATTTTGTGATTTGTTTTAAAAATTGTGAAATTAGTGGTCGTTTAGAAGTTATTTTTAATATTATAAAGTTAAAAATATGTGATTCCGAGTTTTCATGGACTCCACCGGAATTAGTAAAAGTAGCCAAAGTAGCGTCTCAAAAATTATTGCCCGTTAAATCGCGGAAAATTTACGAAACCACGTATTCAAGATTCATGGAATGGAAGATGAAAAAACATGCAGTTCTTTGTCGTGGACGGTGCTATTAGCTCATTTTTCGGAACAAAAGCCGTCAACAGTGTGGTCGAATTATTCAACGATTAAAAGTGTGTTACGATCGAATAATAATGTAGATATTTCAAAATATGTATTGAATATCCAGGCAAAAAATACTCTTTTTCCCCGGGAAAAAAAGTAATTTTTAAATAATTTTAACAAAATATTCTTCCAAAATTTTAACAAAGATTAAACATTGAATAGAACGCACACATGAGTGTACAAAAAATATTTAAACGGTTTATGTAATATGCGGAAATATGGCTGAACTATACAGTGTGTACTAGTTTCGCTTTTCTACAATAAATCTTACTTGTACTTTTTAGATGGTGTTTTTTAAATTTTGTGCCCGACCACCATCAACTTTATTTTTCTATATGGTCCGAAAAAAGGTGCACCCTGTATCCGATACCATCTTTCTCTACGAATTCAACGATGTATCATCACATGTTACAATTATTTTCTTGGTAATGAGGAGAGATTCGTTTTTTATGATTTTTCATTTTTCTTGGCGTTGCAAACAAATTCTTGATGACAGAACAATGTATCACGCCTCTTACTTTCATTGGTACTAACATGGGCCGACTAATACCCGAATACCCAATATAAATAGGATTTATTCTCCGCAAAAAAAAAACGGGCAAAAACACGTTGTGGGAATGTCAACATCGTGATAAGAAATATTCTACGGCACAGACGATGTTTTACCTCATTGGTCTAGCGTCGACCAATCGTTTGAAAAATATCTGCGTCTCTCTCACCTATTTTGAAAGAGTGGGCGGGTGTTCAATTGTTTTTCCCAGTTCACTGGATATATGTGGTTATTTGGGATGACCAATCGGTGTTTGCGAAGTGTAATACTGAATTAGACCAGGATCAGGACGATTTTTGCTACGCAAAATAAATTAGGCTGTGAATTTGGGTACTCATACATTTTTCTCAATTTGCCTAAACTCAATCCAAATTCAGGATGAGATGTAAATAATAACAGTTAGCGCGTGATCTCTCGGTAACAGGTGGGGACAGCGCCTCTTATTGGCCAATCCGCCATTAAATTTCAAGCGGTCGCCTGGCGGAATAATGCGCGGGGCAGGGACAGGGCAGGCAGAGTTGCATTCAGGCCACCGACCGTCGCGTGTATCACTGCGTGCTCGTGTTTTCGTATTCACCTTGCTTGGTTGTTGCTGTTGTTGTTTTTAAGTGTATTTGAGTAATCTGTTTCTGTTAAATACTGTCATCCTGTTTTCAAGACGTAACAGGCTTTTTGAATGAGCCATGTCCATTCAAATTTTGAGCCAACTCTTAAGAAGATGGACTTTTCGGCTGCCTTCTTTCGGAAAATTTATCAAGATACTTTTCTGCAGAGTTTTTGTAGCACAAGACGTAGCACGTCAGGATGCCGAACTTTTCTTCATCGCTAAAATGACCGCCTGGCATAATAAAGCAATATTAAAAATACACTAACAATACTCGGTGGCAGGTATATGCGTCAAGTCAGGCATTTGTTTACATCTACTTGAAAAAATAAAAAAGAATAAAAAACGAATTTTTCCATATAACCAAGAAAATAAATGTCACATGTGATACATCGTTTTTTGATATTTCTTGAAATAAAGTCGGGAAAAAATAAATATGACTGATGACAGTTTTCTTTCTCGGAAACCACTACATTCAACAAGAAGGTTACGTTTTATGAGATACAATTAATTTTTGACAAAGAAAATAGCTATCAAAAATCAAGTTTATTTCCGAAATTAATCATTTTCATCCGATTATTGACCTAGAAACTGCATTAAAATCGGTCAACAATGATGCAAAAAATCCTGGAACCACGTTTTCGGTTAAGGTAGAAATTGCTCTTAAATGACATACAAACAAGTTTTTGACCAAAATATTAAAAAGTAATAAACAAACTATACAGGGTGACTTTGAAGTTGAGTCATTAATTTTCAGATAATGATTGTAGAAGGAAGATAAACCAAAATATGTGTGTAAAAATAAAAAAAAATAAAAAAAAAATGTTTACCTTGTTTTATAAAGTATCCTCCCGACAAGTATTTCAGTGCGGACCTGTATTTGATCGTGAGGTCTTGGAGCACCGGCATGCCCTCCCCTGTGAGGTCTTAAGTCACCTGATTCACGAGAACTTTGTACTACATTAACAAAGGCACGAGGGGTTGGTTGCACGCAACAGACACCACTATTCACTCACGCGTTACCGACTGACACTGACTGTATTCAACTGAATAAAATAATTGTAAAAACATCGTTCCAAATTCTTTCACTTTTTTGTTTCCGATGCGATGAACCGATAAGGCGGATTATATCCGTTGTTGCCAAACACGAGCACATAATATTATTATTGAGACAGGGCGGTACTCAAACTTCCAAAGGGCTATAACTTTGTTACTTTAATTTTACCAGAAAAATGGTAAAGGAAAAAAACATTTCTTTTGATCAGATCTACTCACTGTTAAAATAAATGACTCAACTTCGAAGTCACCCTGTATATAAATCAGAAAAAAGACTATACTTACCATTGGAAATATGCAAAATGTTACATTTAAAAAAATTCATTCATTCAATAGCACTTTTTTGAAATACCCGGTAATAGAAAATGTTAAATGAAGAACTTCATATTAAAAACCCTATAACTTTTATTTACAGCTTTTCTAAAGGGTCATACACGGTGTTCGAAAAATAGAAGGGGATATTTTAGAGGGTGATTCCTTGTCAAAAAACATGAAATTTTCTATAATCATGGGTCCGGAAATGTTGAGTTTTCAAGATACAGGGTGAAGGGTGATAATTTTAAACAAGCTTTGCTTTTTTTATTAATATCTTAAATAATATTTACTTGATTCTGTAGAAATTTTGCAATACTATTTGCTGTACTACGAGCCTAATGTATCCCTAAATAGACTAAATTATTAGGTCCAGTGGCGTCCCAGGGGGCACCTTAGCGAATATTATTGGCAAAAAAATGTACGCGACTACCTTTTTTGTAACTTTAATATCTGTTCTTTGATTATGCATCTAAAAATACAGCTTTTTGTCTCTCGTATTTTTTTCGTGTCTTACTTCGTTTTCGAGGAAAAAAACGTGTTTTATCGCATGTCACTGGACAAAATTGGTTTATTAATTTTTGCTAAAAAAATCACAAGTGCCTTGAAAAACAAACAATCATTTCTGCATTTCTTCTAGAAATAACTATTAACGTAATTTTCTTTGCAATATTTCTCTAAAACGTATTTTTAAAATTTGTCACCCTATATCTTGAAAATTCTTTATTTCCGGACCTATGTTTATGGAAATATTTTTCATATTTTTTAACAAGCAATCACCCTCTAAAATATCTCCGTCTAATTTTCGAACACCCCGTATAAAAAAGTTAGAGGAGTCACTTTATAGCAGGGGTACAAGTCAAGAAGGTACTTAAAATGTTTTACCAAATAAATGGTGGATACTTTTCTTATTTTTTTTTTTCACATTTTTTTCTCCTTTCGTTGTATCAAGAAGATTGATATTCCGTTAAAATGCCCAAAAATATTTTGTTTACTTACATGTAGGTCTATGGAAATGTGGTGATGTAGGCGCTTTATCATACGGATCGATGGGTCTCCTTAAATACCCTAACGTCGGTTCCTCCGTTAGGTAACTATACGTGTATATCCTAGAAATATCGTCAACTAATGTAGCCGACTTATTGTGCTCTCTCAATATTAGCCCGGGCGATGGGGTACGGTAACTGTAATGCTGAAAAAATGATGTATTTTTTAAAAAAAATCTCCGATAAAGTCATACATTTTTTATATACGAGGACTGTCCGATAAGTACTTAGCATCGACGCCCGATGGTGCCACTACAAGAGAAATTTACTATCGTTCATTATCGTCAAAATTTCAGCCGAATCGAACTCTTTTGTTTTGACCAAACATTTTCTTTTGTAGGATAAGTACTTACCGACCCGCCCTCGTATTTGGCGTTTGTTTATTTGTTTGTTGAAGATTTATTTGACGTCAATGGCATAATGTCGATTTTGTATAATTGTTCTTTTACACATTTTCTTTCTGTAAATTTACATTCTTGTCTTTTAAAATTACATCTTTTTAGGTATTCATAAAAATATTTTTAAAAAACATATTTAAATTCGAACACTTTCATTAAATTCAATTACTCCCTTTTAAAATACAGATTTGCGATTTATGCTGCTATTACAATTTTGCAGATGAAAATATATACTGCATCTAGTTTCATAGTTATGATAATGACTAATTATTATAAAAAATGTATGATTCCTTATCTACAAATCTACAAAAAAGCAATACTAAACATAAATGTAACACATAACATAAGGATGAAAAAAATAATGATAAACAAAAACAAACCTTTCTAGACATGCTCGTAGGACTATATAATGAACCATTCAAACTAGGTGTACGGGAACGCATGGAAAACTGTAAAAAATACATGCAAAAAAAATAAAAATAACAAACATAAACTAGTTGAAATAGATGTACATGTATATCTAATGCTAACTACCGTATGGTGTATTACATTTTGCAATACATACAGTACCGGACAAAAGTTTGGAAACATTCTTAGTAATTATTAAAAAGTGTGTTAATTTTTTATTCTTTAATATTAAGGACTGTTTTTCTTTCTCATATAGTTTGCTTACAGTCTTGAGGATACAAATGACAATTTGTGTTTGCTGTGGTACTACAGACTAGCATTACAATACCTTTGTATTATTTTACGACCGAAAATGAGACCAAAAAGTATGGATACATATTTTTTATTACAAAATTAAATACAATAACTCTACAAAAAAATTTGCTAATATTTGGTAGCATCGCCTTTGGCATTCAACACTCCCTGTTGGCATATTTTGCCGAATCTTTTTTACATAATCAAATAAATCGTTCCTATTTTTTAAATGTTCTATAGGGTTTAGGTCGGGGATTGCGAAGGTGATGTAAGAAAATTAGCATTTTTTAGTCTTAACCAGTCCTTTACAAACTTAAGGTATGCTTGGGCTCATTATCTTGCTGGAATGTCCAACGTAAAGGCATTTCTTCTTCAGCAAAAGGGAGCATGTGTCCACTAAGAATATCTTTGTAGTTCTTGATCCATTTGTTTCCAAACTTTTGTCCGCTAGTGTAAAATAAAAATGAAAAAGAACACGCATGTGCGAAATACAGGAAATTATAGAGGATAGAAATATGACTCGTTAATGGTGACACAGGCGCCTAAAATGAACTTACAACTTTGATTTCCCGAATGTGTGACAAACATAAAAAATTCTATTCATCTGTGCAAAAATAAAGTTAATGCTGGAGGACAAGAGACGAAACGTCGTATTTATTTGAAATTCTAATTACGCCATTTTGTAGAGGAGAAAAAGTGGTAATGTTAATGTGCAATATATTTTGAAATCCCTTCACAAATAAAGTCAGGAAAAAATCAAAATGATTTTGAGAAAATTCGGTGTTTTTTTTTCGTCTCCCTGCGGAAGTATTCTAAACTTTCCGAGATCCCAATGGTGAGGGTCGAATTTTCTTCAGATTTTGAATTGTTCAATAGAATCTATCAAATACGCTACAAAAAACAAAATAAGGGGGCAAGAAAAAAAAACAAAAATTTTCTGTGATTTTCGACAGGCTGTATTTTGGTGAAAAATCGTCGTATCTAGACTCTAAAAAGGCATTTTGAAGTTTCATTCAGTTTTAATATCAGGACATCAAAACTGAATAAACGAGCTATTTGGTCCATATACGGGTGTCCCAGAAGTCGACGTCAAGCCGAAACCGGGTGATAGGCAAAGTCATAACAGCTATCAGAAAAATATTTAAAAAAATTTTATGTATGTGTTTTGAAAATTATAGGTCTTTGAAAAAGATATAGAAATTTCACACCCTACGGCAGTCTGTCAACTCCTGTTACTACAAATATTAACTTTTTTTGGATTTTATTTTCACAATGTAATGATGAATAATGCATCTTCAAACTGGTGTCTCAACCTTACTGCCAACTTTTCTCGTTCAGGAAAAATTGTCACTTATTTCCCAACCAAGTATTCCAAAGTAAAACTTTGCTCAACTTTAATTGGCTGTACGAGAGTTTGGCGCATTTAATAACGATTCCAAAATGGTGACGTGCCACTGAGTATTTACAGGGACATGTGGTTTCAGCATGATGGCTGCCCAGCGCACTATGCACTCTCAGTGAGAGAGTATCTCGATCAAAACTTTCCAGGCAGATGGATAAGGCGGTCTGGTACAATACCGTGGCCAGCCCGATCACCTGATTTCAATCCTTTAGATTTTTTTACTGAGGAACTTAATCTTTTAAGTGTTATACCATTTTGGAATCGTTATTAAATGCGCTAACTTTTAAGGTTACTTGCCAAACTCTCGTAGTACATTTTTTCCAGTACAGCCAGTTAAAGTTGAGCAAAGTTTTACTTTGGAATACTTGGTTGGGAAATAAGTGGCAATTTTTCCTGAACGAGAAAAGTTGGCAGTAAGGTTCAGACACCAGTTTGAAGATCCATCATTCATCATTACATTGTAAAAATAAAATCCAAAAAAAGTTAATATTTGTAGTAACAGGAGTTGACAGACTGCCGTAGGGTGTGAAATTTCTATATCTTTTTCAAAGACCTATAATTTTCAAAACACATACATAAAATTTTTTTAAATATTTTTCTGATAGCTGTTATGACTTTGCCTATCACCCGGTTTCGGCTTGACGTCAACTTCTGGGACACCCTGTATTGCAAAACATGTTTCTTGCGCTATTTGTAAGAGTTGCAATCGTTGCTCCTGAAACTTTTCGGCTAAGAAACCTGAAAAATAGAATCTTGATTTTAACGTCTAGATGCGACAATGTTTCACCAAAATAAATACCACCGAATACTTTGGATATTTTCCTCGCTCCCTTAGTTTTTCGAGCGGCGCAGATACCTGCAATTCGCTGGCCCCGCTAGTGCTGTTCCTATCGTAGTCCCTGCAGGAGGCGTCCGTATCCGTGAGATGTCCATTGGCGTCCGGCCCGCTGCCGTTCAGCGTTCTTCCGTCTTCGCCTGGGCCTGGTCCGCATCGCGGATGCCAGATGGCGCCACCTTGCAGGTACATCTCTTCGCCGTCGCCGAACGGATCGCCGCATTTCGTGCAACGAGCGCACGTCGGATGGAAATGGTGATTGTCACCGGCCTGCAACAGACACGACAAATATAGTCAAAATCACGAAAGATGATTATTACGTCATACCATAAATTGTACTGAAGTAATAATGGACGTACGTCGATGATAAAAGCAGGAGTCAGAAACGTAATGACAACAAGGTTATATTATGAGTTTGCGAAGTTAGGTTATTTCACTGATTATTTTGCATTTTATTTCATGGTTTTGAGTGATACCTTAATAATAATTTTAGTGAGGAGTTTTTGTTTTGAAAAAAGCTGTTATGAGTAGTATTCCTTAAGACAGGAACAACAAAGACCAAAGTATTATTCGAAAACAACATAACCTGCTTCAACATAACCTAACTATTCATCTTTCAAATACGATCGATCATGCAACATGAAAACATCGTCTATCTAAATACATGCAAGTTAGCAATACAGTTTGTTTAGACAATAAAATTATGTTTGTCTGTGTCTAATATCAGAAACTTCATTAAATATATTCACAAATCGCTGTCGCTTGTCTTTACTACAGACTAAAATGATGACGTAATCGTCATCTTTCGTGATTTCGACTATATACATCGTCGCCTTAGAGCTATTTCATGTCTAAAATTTCCAAATTTTACTTTTATACTCTACAGGGCGGGCCAAAGAAAAGGTAGCACCCCCATTTTTAATTCTCCTGGAATATTTTGGGAAAAAAGCTCAAACAAAAGTTCGGATGTCTTTCATTATAGTTAGTTAATAATTTACACATCTAAGATATACACTAATCGACAAAAGTATATAGACATCTCGCCAAACAATCGCCTTATTGCACACGAAATTTCAAGACCGCATAATTTCACAAAATTCAGATGCCAGTTGGCCCCTGAGATCGTGCGATTTAACATCTCTTGACTACTTTCTTTAGGGATTTTTGAAAGGAAACGTGTATGCGACAATTCAAGACCTAAAGCGCAATATTCGGACTGAAATTGCGGCCATAGACCCGATCATTCTGGGAAAAGTCATTGAAAATTTTGATGTTCGGATGTTGGCAGGTAAACGAATCCTCGGTGGTCACATGACTGATGCAATTTTTCATACATAAATGGCATAAACCAACCTTCATTTATCCATAAAAAAATTCGATTGCACCTCGTAAAAAGCGTGTTAATTTTGCAAATAGAAAAAAAGTAATAGATGACGTACATGAAGAAATCTTGAAAAAAAATGTTTCTTCTCAACAAAAGGTGATAGACACATCCGCTTCGTTTGAAAATGTATACAGGGTGTCCGCAAAGTTGGGGTTTTCCTTTACACGATGTGTACCATATACACCAATGTCTTAAGGGAACCGAGATAAAGGGCTCTGCAACATCAAAAATATCTGAATACCGTCCTGTAACCGCGACATCACCGATTGGTACAAGGTCACTAGCTCAACCCGACGACAGAACTGGGTCAGGGTCAGTGTGTCAGGTCAGTATGCAACCTTCAACCGACGGTTACGGTCACGCGTGTAGAGACAATCGCGTAGACGAGAATCCCTCAACAAGCACTAGAGACGTGGCTAGAGAAGTGCAAGTATCAAAAACTAAAGTGTGGCAAACGCTGCGTGAACACGTCCAACGTGTACAAGCCCTTCAACCTGACGATTTTCCAGCAAGAGTGCGGTTTTGTGAGTGGTTGTTGCATCAACTTGACAATAATCCGGACTTTTTGAAGTGCATATTGGTGACAGACGAATCTACGTTCACGCGTAATGGGGTGAATAAATTTCGCAACCCTCATGTTTGGTCAGTAGAAAATCCGCACGCTGTCCGTCGGGCACATTTTCAACAAACATTTTCGGTGAATGTTTGGGCTGGCATGGTGAACGGTATGCTCGTTGGACCATTTATTCTCCCAAATCGATTGGACGGGATGCAATACCTAGACTTTTTACGCAACATTTTGCCTTCCTTGTTTGCCTGCGTCTGCTCGGTAGCGCATCAGCTGATTTCACTTTCTGTTGGAGCGGTATGATTTCGGGCAGAGACGTACTTAGCCCTTCTTTTTCCTTTATTTTTTTTTACTCGGTCGCCCTCGTTTCACTACACATTACGTTTGTTATTTCAAGGGTAGTTGTTTCTGAAAAGGAAAACCCCAACTTTGCGGACACCCTGTATAATGTATGTTTTTCGGATATTTTAGCGAATCTGTTCGATTACTCACAAATACGAAATGATGGAATTTGCTTAGAAGAAAAAACGGAACCCTTCGCATTTTGCCTCGATTTTCGGCCATAACTTTTTTTACTGTTAGTCTCATAGGTACCTAAAAATCTTAATTGAAGGGTTTTTTCGTGCCTGCCAACACTTTCGATTGAATCTCAAAAAACACGTTTTCTTATTCTTTGTTGTCGAGTAAAAGTAAAAATACCCCTGATTTTCTTCTAATATGATTAAAGTACTAGTACTAGTTTCTTTCCCAAATTATACCAGGAGAGTCACAAATAGCGGTGCGACCTTTTCGTTGACCTACCCTATATAAAGTTACATTTAAACAAAAAAAATTGTCGATGGGGATACAGTTTTGCTCTCCAGTATATTAGTAAGTATAATATGATGTATTATCCAGAAAGACCCATATACAAATAAGACAGTCAGATATGTGTGACTAAACTGTTTTTAAAACCCACATTCGCTATTTGCACACAGATAATATTACGATGTACATAATTACGTTCTCGTTGTCTTGCGGTATCTGCAATTATGGTTTTACTAGAAACTAATATTGTTTACGCTTATTGATTGCATATCTGTTCATAGAAGAGTAGAACAGAACAAGAATGTCAGTAAACCCAACAAGGTCAAATCGTAATTCTGAATAAATTCAACAAATAATGTTATCAACTCGTAAAATCCCAGTTAGACGTCTAAAATAATGGCGCCTAGATACCTAAAAAATAAAATACAATACGTTTGATCCAGTTTATTCCAAAACAGCGCTGTTTTCTATTCGCGAAAACTTGAATGTAAATCGAAAGTACATATTAATAAACTAGGATTTGAAAGACGAAGTAGCCACATACAGGTATATCAGCAATTCATACCGTAGAGAATTCAAACACGCTGAATGTTCTTTCCAACCAGAATGTTGTGCCCGCAGACGGCAATAACTTGAAATTACGTTGGGTGCAACGCGCATATTTTCAAGCTGTCAGTTGACGACCATTGTTAAGTCCGCTTGAGATGCGTTGATATACGAGCGGTTCCGATGCTCATGAATTTGTAATAACGATATCTTGATCCATAAAACCTACCGGTTCGTTTTACTCGACGTATGTAACGGCGTTCGTTTCAAATAACGAGCAATTGCCTTTTTTATGATGTATGTAAAAACAGACAAAAAAATACGTGAAACACATTCTTACCGAGTTTGCTTAAGGCTTAACTATGTAATGCCAATTTTTAACACCTACGAATGTTTTTCCGAAAACGATCAAGAGTTTTTGAAAAAATATTTTATAATACACTTATTCTATACTTTATATATTTATATATACAGGGTGTCCCAAAAAAAAGTGTGCAATATTCTAGCAGCGGTTTCTAGTGCTTGAAATAGGAAGAAAAGTTTATATAAACATAGGTCGACAAACTTCCCCTAAGGGCGCTACGGTCTTTTAAAAGGACTCCCTTGAAGATAGTTTTTCCTTAATATTTCCGAAACGTGTTGAGATAAAGACATAAAATTTGGTATTCTAGACTAGTTTTTTATGCTGGATTTAAAAATATTAACAATTTTAGACAGTTTTGTTTGGAAGCGTATGTAACAGGGACGGACTCAGGTTATTTCAGCCCCAAAATTTTTGTGTGATTCTATTTTTGAAATTCAATTTTAGAATTTGAAAATTTAGGGTTTTCTAGATAAAAAAGGTACTCTTATTGAATATCGATAAATTGTGCCATTTTTGAATAAAATCAAACTAGAAAATTTGTCACACGATAGGAAATTTACTGCGAATTTAAATGAATTGTTGAATAATTAGCCATGGCAACGCAAAAACTAATTTAATAATTGGTAAATATTACATAAATACATATTTATATTGCAACATAGCTAACATTTAGACAAAAACAAAAGAAATACATTTTTTCTACGAACGAAATTGAAATTTGTTTAAAAAAAAGAAGACATACAGTTGAATATACTTAAAACTAGATTTACAATAAGTGTTCAAATAAATTTCCATTTTGTTAGATACAGAGTCTCGCTCGACGAACTAATGATTGCGTAGCCCGAAAATTGGAAAACCTTTTTCTTCTTATTTCATTTGCAGCCTGATGGATTCTTTGAAGTAAATCTTCTTGAGTATTTACTTCAGTCGAGTAAACTAGGTCTTTTAATGACCCCCAAAAATAGAAATCCAATGGAATTTAGTTCAGGTGAACGTGGCGGCCACGCTATAGGACCTCCTGGGCCTAACCACCTGTCTGGGAAAACTGACATTCAACATTGCGTCCAGAATGTGCAGGGACGCCATCATGTTGAAAAAACATATTTTCTTGAAACTGCTGGCGCACATCCAATGGTATTATATCCATGAGCTCATTCTGAAGAAAGTTCAGATACACCTCTGAATGAAGACGATTGGGAAGTACAAAAGGCCCAATTACTTGATCCCCAATTACTCCTGCCCAGAAGTTCAATGAAAATCTATGTTGGAAATTTGTACGGCGAACAACTTTTGGATTTTCAACCAAACTTCCTAACTTAAGCCAGTTCAATTCCCTATATTTATCACTTACGTGATCGTATTTACCCAACCCATAAATAAAGCGAACACAGTTATTTCGGATGATTTGGAGACGATTTTTGGTCAATTGATCCAAACATGGATAATAAACGACATCACAGTAACTGAGCATTGACATCACCAAAGATTCGCACAGTTTGTTTCTCAGCTTAAAGTTAAGCAAGTAGCGATGGGAATAAAGAGCCCTAGAACACAGGTAAGTTTTTTCATCAAATTAGCTATTAATCTTAATCTTAATTTTGTGTCAATTTCCACTCCTGGTACCTCAGCCGTTTGAGTATGCTGTAATGTTATGCCATCAATAGTCGGATGGAAAGAATCTTCGACAGTTTTCCTCTTCTGATCAGAACAAAACAATAACACTTGTGGCTTATCTGGATTAATAGTAAGATTATGTTCCATAGAAAACTGATGTACCTTATCTAAATCAAGCTGTAAAATGTCTGATGAATTTTGCGTATCTGAGGCGTCGAAATGGAATATTATTTGAGTATCGTCAGCAAATGTTTGTATCCCTGAATTGTCAACTGCTTTATGCAGGTCACATGTGTAAATCAAAAAAAGCACAGGTCTCAAAATTGAGCCTTGCGGAACTAGGTATTCATAAACTTTTCTTACTATTGATCGAGGTATATCCATAATTTCTGAAACACTTCGTATGTTTATTTGCGGATTATTTTCAAACATATTTAAAGTAATATCCATACGAATATTTCCCAGTGGCCTTCCTGAGCCCTGCATTTGCTGAAAACTTCCATGGTTTGACAAATTCCGGTGAATATCAGTAAACATTCGAAGTACAGGTACTATGCGATTGGAAAATCTTTGATATTCTTTTACAGCTGCCAATGAACTGCTATTGCTAAACCCGTACACAAAATGCATGTCAGTCATTTCTCTTGGCATTTTAAATCGATTTAATAAAATTTTTGATTTTAATCTAGTAATTTTACACTGCTAACAATCTCAGCTTAACGTCAAAATAAGTCATAACAAATCAAAACAACTTTTGTTTGCAGTCATGGCGAACTATGTATAATCAACAATTCATTTAAATACACAATACACTTCCTATCATGTGACAAATTCTTTAGTTTGATTTTATTCAAAAATGGCATAATTTATCGATATTCAATAAGAGTACCTTTTTTATGTAAAACATCCTAAATTTTCAAATTCTAAAATTGAATTTCAAAAATAGAATCACACAAAAATTTTGGGGCTCAATTAACCTGAGTCCGTCCCTGTTACATACGCTCCCAAACAAAACTGTCAAAAATCGTTGATATTTTTAAATCCAGCATAAAAAACTAGGCTAGCATACCAAATTTGATGTCTTTATCTCAACACGTTTCGGAAATGTTAAGGAAAAACCATCTTCAGGGAAGCCCCTTTAAAAGACCGTAGCGCCCTTAAGGGACGTTTGTCGACCTATGTTTATATAAACTTTTCTTCGTATTTTAAGCTGTAGAAACCGCTGCTAGAATATTGCACACTTTTTTCGGGACACCCTGTATATACTGAGTGATAAAAAAAAGTTAACACCTACGTATTGGATTTCAAGAATTTTTTTACACATCGATTTATCTTGCCATGGCGATGCGATGAAAGAGTGACCCACAATTTGATTGAGCAGATCACCACTAATTTTCATCATAGGCAATATGCTCTACGATTCAGGAAGTAGTGGAGCCTCATCTTATCCCATACCTAAACACCATCCAAAACCCAGCAAGACAATGCCAGACCGCATGTTTCCAGAGCATCATTAGCCTTCATGGATCAACATCGCATCAACCGTTGACCTTGGCCACCACGAGCGCCTGACCTATCTCCAATTGAACATGTCTTGGATTTGCAACATCCTCCACAGGCTTTAGCAGCTCTTACTCACAAAGTTGCAGTAGCCTGGAATGAGATACCCCAACAGAATATCGACCACCTCATCAGCACGATGCAAAGGCGTGTCAATGAGTGTATAAGGAATCCTGGATCCTCAACAAGAGTATTTAACCAGCTTCTGCAATCAGTGGACGAATCCAGCTGATCATTTTACTAGTAAGGGACACTGAACATACACGCCAAAAATTATCAAAATCGGATAAACATACGTAGGTTTTTTCTGCGAACAGCTTTAGCATACGCCGATGAATTTCCACGTCGCCTGAATCTCAAAAAAATAACTTTCACCACATCACCGAATCCGAGACAGGTTAGCCTTGAATGGTATTCCTAATAGGTAAATATAATGTTATTACGTAAGCAGCGACGTTATTTGCTTTTCAAATGTGCAATTCAAACACGGTGCTTCAAACGTTGTTGGTTTATCGCAAATTGGTGCCGCATCGGTTTGTTTGAGTTTAGATTAACTGGAGCCGAGAATAGCGACAAAAAAAATAAAACTCTTTTTGCGTCACATGGTAGTATTATACCCTATTCGTAGTCGATTTACGGCCCGGCACAACAAAGATGCGGCGCGGCAACGCGGCAGCCGCCTACGCATTGCAATAGCTATTGGTCATTAGCCATAAAACTGCGCAGGATTCGGCAGGGTAGAACTCAGGCTCGGGGTATCGCCGGCAGTTGCTGTTCATATTCGGTGCATACATAGCGTGTGGGTTATATTTCTCCCAATGCTTCCTTCAGCCATGCTTCTTCTTCAGTGATTTCTGCTCTCCGAAAACGTGCAAGAAGGCACATTTGAATATTCAGGCAAAATAAATTGTCCTTAACGTTTATAAGAGCGAAATTTTAGAGCATACTGTAATAAAAATTGATGATACTGAAAGACGTGTGGGGAACAACACAGGCGTTTGTTCCAAGACGATTTTCAACATTGCTGAAGGATATAAAAAAACACAAAAAATTGTTTCCACCACACAAGAGGCTACAATTACACGAAGCTGTTGGATACAGTTGACAACTTTGATCGGAATGCCATCAGACGACAAGTCCGTCAATTTTTTGAAAGGCAATAACTCCCGACCATAGACAAAGTATTACAGGAGGTTAATGGTGATGAAGACTATCCTGCTTTCAAAAGGACCACGTTCTACAGGGTGACTTTGAAGTTGAGTCATTAATTTTCAGATAATGATTGTAGAAGGAAGATAAACCAAAATATGTGTGTAAAACTAAAAAAAAATTTTACCTTGTTTTATAAAGTATCCTCCCGACAAGTATTTCAGTGCGGACCTGTATTTGATCGTGCGGTCTTGGAGCACCGGCATGCCGTCCCCTGTGAGGTCTTAAGACACCTGATTCACGAGCCCGTTGTACTACATTAACAAAGGCACGAGGGGTTGGTTGCACTCGATTGGGAAACCGATCCGCATAAACATGTGCCATTTTTTATTTCGTTTGAGCCACGCAACAGACACCACTATTCACTCACGCGTTACCGACTGACACTGACTGTATACAACTGAATAAAATAATTGTAAAAACATCGTTCCAAATTCTTTCGCTTTTTTGTTTCCGATGCGATGAACCGATAATGCGGATTATATCCGTTGTTGCCAAACACGAGCACATAATATTATTATTGAGACAGGGCGGTACTCAAACTTCCAAAGGGCTATAACTTTGTTACTTTAATTTTACCAGAAAAATGGTAAAGGAAAAAAACATTTCTTTTGATCAGATCTACTCACTGTTAAAATAAATGACTCAACTTCGAAGACCCTGTATAGTTTACTCAAAGAACTTCATTTTGAGTATAGAAATAGTATTTTGATGGACAGCCAAGAGATTACTTTATGGAGAAGAAATTATTCAAAAACAATAAAGAAATACCGCGTCCAGGGCCGGACGATTTATTACTGAGATTAAACCTGGATAAATGCAGGACCTAAAGTATGGGCTGACTCTACAATTAAATCAGCAAGACAAGCCTTCTTAGATGGACTAACCACTGGTCTAAAGAATCCGTCAGGTACGTGCATCTAAGCAATTCGTCATTTGTGTTGTAAAAATGGTGTCAAGAAGACTGAATCTATGAGCCCACGCTGAAAACTTAGCTACACTAAACTCAGCTATATCTGGCAGATTTTTAACCAACACCTGTTAGATACTCTGCTTGTATTATTATTAGTTTTCTTGAAAATCATATGAAATAATTATGTCCAGAAATGGAAAACGATTTGTTTTCTGTCACATTGGCAGTGAAGATGGCTTTGTGCCCACTGCCCTATGGGCATTCGAGTCAAAGAAAATGACCGACTACCATGAAGAAATAGACAGGAGTTCATTTGAACGATGGTTTGATGGAACGCTCCCAAAGCTTGACGATAATACCGTCATTGTACTTGATAATGCTGCATATCACACTAGAAAACTAGAATAAATTCCCACAGTGTCAACAAGCAATGCTGAAATTCAACAAAGGCTCCTATCAAAAGACATAAGCTAGACAGGCAGCACAGATATAAATATAATCCTAATGTTATTGACGAAATGGTTAAAAACTAAAATAAGGCTAACCCCTTATCACTGCGAATTAAATCCCATTGAAATGATTCTAGCAAATATAAAAGACGAACAATAGAACATCCAGATTTGCTGAGGAAAAATTTGTTTTATGAAGCTGTCAATACACTGACGGCAAACCATTGAAAATATTGCATCCGACACGTTTAAGAGACAATCGAAACAAAGATGTGGGATCTGGACATGGATATTCAAATTGAACCTGTAATTCGGGCGATGATTCAAGTAATTGTAGCGAATACAGAATTGTGAAAAGTATGCGCACTTCTTTCTATAAAAATAATCATCTATTTTGTTAGATTATTCTAAGACCATTGAGGAAAATACGGACCTGTACAATGTTTTGTCTGGGCGTAAATGGACTACGAATGTGGTATAGTGTAGACAGGTGATAAAATGCACAATTTGCTTAGTATTTTGCGGAAAAAACAAAGACATACGAGGTCTGTAATTCAAGTGCTGAGACTGGCAACGTAGCGTTCAATCGGGCACCACTGATCCATGTGATCCGCTTTCAGTACAAGTTTGAACCCGCTCGAGTCTTTGGTTATCCCTGGCGATGTTGAATAAAATAAAATCAAAAATCCGTAATACCGACCTGCAAGACTTTCCCGCTGATAAACCGCTGGCAATAAGCGCATTTAACGCCAAACTGCTTCTGGTAATCCCTTTCGCAATACGGTATCCCGTCTCTTCCCATGTATTCCCCATGAAGCACAACACCGCACGTGCCGCATTTGAAGCACCAGATGTGCCATTGTTGGTCCAACGCGACCAGAGCTTGACCTTCTTTCAGTTCTTCCTTACAACCGGCACATTCTGAAAAAAAAATTAAAATTACCATTTACCATTACCATTTGCACGTCCATTTTTTCGCCTTTTTTTTCAACTACGTGTCTGCAACAGTATTTTAAATCCTTTTCATCTGATTACTTCACGATGTGTATAGAGATGACTGAAAAACATCGTTTTTAATTTTGTTTTGTCATAAAATGCGTTTTTTGTGCATTTTATTGTTGATTTCTTCTTCGATCGTAACTTGTTGACAAATATTAGTACAGCTCTGAAATTGTATGTGAATATTTCACTTTCATTGATGAATGAAACAAGTGATTGATTTTAATCCTATCACTGTTTCTCTTCGAAAAATCTTTGCTTTTCTTGAAAACCTAACTTACTGCGAGACGGGGCTTCAAGAAAATCAAAGATTTTTCGAAAATGATAAGTGATAAGAACAAAAGTAATCACTTGTTTCATTCTTCCGTAAAAAAGGGAATATTGACACACAATTTCAGAACTGTACTTATATTTGTTAACAAGATCCGATTGGAGAAAAAATGCATTTTATTGACAAAAAAAAATTAAAACACTCTTTTTCGGTCATCTCTATACACACCATTATCAGATGAAAAGGGAATACTGCTGCAAACAGGTGTTGATTTCTTCTTCGATCGTAACTTGTTTACAAATATTAGTACAGCTCTGAAATTCTATGTGAACATTCCACTTTAATTGATGAATGAAACAAGTGATTGCTTTTATTCTTATCACTGTTTCTCTTCGAAAAATCTTTGTTTTCCTTGAAAAGCTAACTTGCTGCGAGACGGGCTTCAAGAAAATCAAAGATTTTTCGAAAATGATAAGTGATAAGAACAAAAGTAATCACTTGTTTCATTCTTCCGTAAAAAAGGAATAGTGACACACAATTTCAGAGCTGTACTTATATTTGTTAACAAGTTTCGATTGCAGAAAAAATGCATTTTTTTGACAAAAAAAATGAAAGCAGTAAGGAAATCCCTTGAATGTTTATTTTTTAAACTAATTAACAAAATAACGTTCTTACCGTTTGCGTTGTTAGTCGTAGGACTGGATTTCGGTGTGGCGTTGCGAATTGGTATTTGAACACATTTTGGACAGAGCACCTCTTTGCCGGTATACGTCACCTTTTCACCAGACGGGAAAGGCTGCCGACATCTGGCACACGTGAAACACCTTTGATGATAAGTTTTTCCTAATGCAGTCACAACCTAGAAAACAAATCATCTATCAGTCAAACATTGTAGAGAATCAGTGTATTGGACACATTCAGGTTCAAGCATAACTGATATTATGTAAAAAACCTATAAAAGTCATATTGCAGACTAAAGAACATAGACAATGGACACCTCAACAATGGTGTGCAATGCAATGGAGTGATGAGGCCCGATTCGAAGTTTGTGTTGGTGACAGTCGCAGTAGAGTTATTCGCAAAAAAAATGAAGCATTCCATGTTCACTGTCTGAAGAGAAAAGTGAAATTTCCAGCATCCATTATGGTCTGGGGCAGTATGTCATCAAAATGAGTAGGAAAACTTCATTTTATTGATGGAAATGTGGATACAAACAAATATTTGGCAATTTTAGAAGAATCGCTTTTACCAGTGATGGAAGCATGTTTGACATCCGGCCAAGATTTTGTGTTTCAGCAAGATGGTGCAGCGTGCCATACCTCAAAAAAGGGTATAAAATGGATGCAAGAACCTTAAGACAACTTATGGACAATATCATAATGGAAATTCGAGCCATAAATCGGGAAACATTGGACAATGGACAATGTCTTGGTAAGGAATTTTGTGTGTGAAAGAGAAAATGGCCGTCACTTACGCGACATTATTTTTCATACTTAATACGAAAAAAAACTCCAATAAATATATTTTATTTTTGTAAAAACTACATTAAAAAATATTAATAAATAAAAAAGTTATTATAGTTTAAAATAGGTCAGCTTGTTTTGGCCCACCCTGTATGTTTGTGTTTGCAAAAACTTTGAGGAGAATTACGGGAAATCACCATCTCGCCCGCGTGAATTACTGTTAACATGTATATGATTATAAATATATATACTAAGTGACATATAAATCCGAACACCCAGTTTAAATGGTTTTATTTTAATAAAATTTTGTATAAGTACTTAATGAAGCATAATAAGTAAATGATAAAAATTTCAAAATGATTGCACTGCTTTAAAGCCCTTTAACCTTTAATAATGTGTGGATGCACCCTGATGTGCTACGCATTCTCCAACGCGCCTAGGCATGCTTTTGATCAGGTGGTCAATGTCCTCCTGTGGTATCTCATTCCAGGCAACCACCAACTCCTCTCGAAGTGCTTCTAGAGTCTGAGGAGGACGTTGCAAATTCAGCAATCTCCTACCCATCATATCCAACACGTGCTCAATTGGGGATAAGTCGGGAGATCTTGGTGGCCATGGTAACAATGTGACATCATTATGTTGAAAGAAGTCTATTGTGACTCTTGCAACATGTGGTCGGGCATTATCTTGTTGGAAAGTTGGATCTGCCAGGGTGTCAAGATAGGGTGAAAGATGGGGTTCTAGAACTTCGTGGATATAACGCTGCGCGTTCATGATACCTCTGATGAAGATTAAAGGTGACCTGGAACCATAAGCTATAGCACCCCAATCCATAACTCCAACAGTGTGATGAACATGTCTTTCAACAAAAAACTGTGGATTCCTCCTTTCACCACGTCGCCTTCTAACCCTTACACCGACGTAATCGCCTTGAGTGGTGCAGACAACGGTCACTCTGGGATCAGGAATGGAACAGTATTGTCTTTAGTGACGAGTCTCGATTTTGTTTAGTCATGCACGATGGTCGTGCCAGGGTTAGAAGGCGACGTGGTGAAAGGAGGAATCCACAGTTTTTTGTTGAAAGACATGTTCATCACAGTGTTGGAGTTATGGTTTGGGGTGCTATAGCTTATGGTTCCAGGTCACCTTCAATCTTCATCAGAGGTAACATGAACGCGCAGCGTTATATCCACGAAGTTCTAGAACCCCACCTTTTACCCTATCTAAACACCCTGGCAGATCCAACTTTCCAACAAGATAATGCCCGACCACATGTTGCAAGAGTCACAATAGACTTCTTTCAACATAATGATGTCACATTGTTACCATGGCCACCAAGATCTCCCGACTTATCCCCAATTGAGCACGTGTTGGATATGATGGGTAGGAGATTGCTCAATTTGCAACGTCCTCCTCAGACTCTAGAAGCACTTCGAGAGGAGTTGGTCGTTGCCTGGAATGAGATACCACAGGAGGACATTGACTACCTGATCAGAAGCATGCCTAGGCGCGTTGGAGAATGCGTAGCACATCAGGGTGCATCCACACATTATTAAAGGTCAAAGGGCTTTAAAGCAGTGCAATCATTTTGAAAATTTTTTCATTTACTTATTATGCTTCATTAAGTACTTATACAAAATTTTATTAAAATAAAACCATTTAAACTGGGTGTTCGGATTTATATGTCACTTAGTATAATTATTCCTCATCTCTCTCATTTTTTAAATTCAGCAAGAGTAAAGCACTCAGAAACGCTCTCCAACACATGAGCGAAATAACCAGGATACAGAAGACGGTTGTAAAAAATTTTGACTATTAAGATTGCAATTATGTCATACACCGTTACTAAAGTCGTTTCTGAATCCTTAAATATTACAACAAAAAAATATGAAGACTCAAATAAGTAACGTCAACCTTTCATCACACTACAAACTGCTAACTGGTGCATTTAATTTATTCAATACAGATACCTCAACAAAAAAAAAACAGAACAATGTAACATATCACGCCTCTTTCAGTTTCATTGGTGCCTGGCATGGGCTGAGTAATACCTGAATATCCAATACAAATAGGATTTATTCTCGACAAAAAAACGGGCAAAAAAAACGTGGAAATGTGAACATTGAGATAAGAGATAATAATACACATAGAAGGTGATTTACCTCATTGGTCTAGTGTCAACCAATCGTTTGAAAAATATCTGCGCCTCTCTCACGTATCTTGAACAAGTGGGCGTGGGTGTTCAATTGTTTTTTCCCAGTTCACTGGATATATATATATATATATATATATATATATATATATACAGGGTGACTTCCAAGTTGAGTCATTTATTTTAACAGTGAGTAGATCTGATCAAAAGAAATGTTTTTTTCCTTTACCATTTTTCTGGTAAAATTAAAGTAACAAAATTATAGCCCTTTGGAAGTTTGAGTCCCGCCCTGTCTCAATAATAATATTATGTGCTCGTGTTTGGCGACAACGGATATAATCCGCCGCATCGGAAACAAAAAAGCGAAAGAATTTGGAACGATGTTTTTACAATTATTTTATTCATTTGTATACAGTCAGTGTCAGTGATGTTTTTAGTTGGATTCAGTCGGTAACACGTGAGTGAATAGTGGTGTTTGTTGCGTGGCTCAAACGAAATAAAAAATGGCACATGTTTATGCGGATCGGTTTCCCAATCGAGTGCAACCAACCCCTCGTGCCTTTGTTAATGTAGTACAACGGGCTCGTGAATCAGGTGACGGCATGCCGGTGCTCCAAGACCTCACTATCAAATACAGGTCCGCACTGAAATACTTGTCGGGGGATACTTTATAAAACAAGGTAAAATTTTTTTTATAATTTTTTTTTTATTTTTACACACATATTTTGGTTTATCCTCCTTCTACAATCATTATCTGAAAATTAATGACTCAACTTCAAAGTCACCCTGTATATTTGGGATGACCAATCGGTGGTTCAATTTGGGATACCGTATTAGACCAGGATCAGGACGATTTTTGCTCCGCTAAATGATACTTTGCATCACAAAAAACAAGGTTACTCATTGCCGTCGATATATCTGTGCCCTAAGGGCCGTATCTTCAGTCGTTCCTACAATTGTAGGACGCCTTTATGGCCTCTTTGATTTTCATAGTATTTTCTCTCCTTCACAAAGGCTGGGGTATTTCCAACTATTGTGAAGTTATGCTTTCTTTTTGAATTGTAGGGAATTTCAGGCTGACGATACAACTGAACAATTTGATGCAAATAGATATTTGTAACATAACCTCTAAATAGAACGGTGACACGGAACAGTAGAAAACTATAAAAATCAAGGAAGCCGTAAAGGCGTCCTACAATTATAAGAACGATAGGGCCCTAAACCTTGATCCCTCTATAACAGAAAGAATCGTTTGGGTTTTGATGATATTTTGAAACAAGGACGCTACTGTGCGAAAGACGAAAAAGCTTTGTGAATCTCAAAGATTGGTGTGGTTGCGAGGAAGGTACGTGTAAACAACAAAAAATAAAAATCACAGATTTTAGACGAGTTGTAAACGGTACATCACAGAAAGACGTTGATTTTGAGTTGTTTTTACTTTGAAAATGCAAAAATTATCCTTTAATTCGCCACGTAATTTGGCGTAATTATCAACAATTTGCCGCAATCGTTGGTAGTACTCCGCAATGCAAAACGTGATACACGTGATACGCTGAAACCGAATCCACGGCCCATTCAGTCCGAAAATGTCTCGTTTTTTTGAATTCAACTTTGACAAAAAAAAACACTAATAAAAAATATCTAAAAACAGTCTGATAACACTTTAGAATTTTTTTAAAGTCGCAAAAAACGCATAGTTTTGCAATTTTTCACTAAATAATTAGATCTACATGATAAACGGTATCACATAAATGTAAAACGACCTCGGATTCGGTATTGGCAACCCAAAATATGTGGAATAAAGCTCATTTGAACCGCATTCAAAGCATTTTAACATATAATTACCATGTGGGTAGGGGTATATTCTTACCAAAAAGTCACAAAATGGGTCAGTCGGGAATGTGAACGCAACATATAATACGCTTTTTGGGTCGCTGAAACCGAATCTATGGCCCACTCCGTCCGAAAACGCCTCGTTTTCAAGATACTGGCAAGAATTCAACTTTGTCAAAAAACGACTAATAACAAATTACAAAAAACTCTTGCGGGTCTATGATCGAGATGGAAGTTTGTTTTCTGGGTAAATCGGATGCGTAGATTCCAAATTCGATGTCGATACATTGCTAAAATTAACGGCTAGCCCGCAAAAATAGTTTCTTGTCAACTTTTCACCATAAATCCAGTCTGATAACACTAGAATTTTTTCACTGTGATATATTCAGCACCCCTAATTACCTCATTGTG